GGTTTTGACGGGGGAGATATTTGAAGTTTCCTTTTTTTTTTTTTTTTCTTTTTTTTTTTTTTGGTCTTGTTGTTTCGAGTGTCTGTCAGTAAACCATAGGATAATCAAAGCAATACCAAATCGTGAATTGTTTGGCAAGACATATATGGAGTGGTTGAGTAAGCCAGTTCGATGCACGCTATTCCTCGCTGGGAAAAGCTAGGAAAGGAAACATATTTACAAACGCCAAAAAAGGAAGAAGATAATTCCAAACACAATATCGCAAACCGGTGGTGTAACATCTTAGATTGTGCGACAAACAGGGTGCCAGCATGACATCGCGGATACTGGCTAGTGAGGATCTATTGGCAACATGACCTTCATGGTTAAACCATGACTTCATTTGATCATACTCCATAGATAGTAAGATAGTAGAATAGTAATTGAACATGAGAGGAAATGATGGGGTATTTGTAGTCGTAAGGGATCTGACTTGGACAGGTCGGAGGTTTGAGTGTTTCGGGAGTCAAGGTTTTTGACTTGACCCTGAAGAAGTCCAATCAGGGGGGATAGTAGGGTCGTCATTCTTAATCAAAGTCATGAGGACAATCCAGCAACAATTTGCTTAGATCTCGTGGGGAACCTCAAGGCCCGCATCCTTGCTGGCGACAAGGGCAATCAGAGCCGCACCAACACCGCTGCCATCCTTGGAGATACCAATGCGGATCTTCTTGTCGCCTGCAACTCCGACTTCGGGAACCTCGCGCAAAGCCTCACGCATGTGTCCCTCGAAGTTGGGGTAGAACTCAACCAGACTGCCGTCAACACCAACATCAATGATGTCGTCCGTGGCGAGCTTGTTGGTAGATGTGATAATGGCTGCCAGTGGGACAGCACTCAGGCGGGCGGCACGCTTGCCAATGGCGTGGACCAGAATCTTGATGGCCTGGCATTCTTCAAGGCTGGGGTTCTCAATCTCAAGGTGCTCCTTCAATGCGGTCTTGATGTCGACCAAGTCCTTGCTGCTATCGGCTTCCACGGAGCTCAGCAAACTGGTGTCAAGACCCCATTGGCGGAAGAGCATGGATCCCTCAGCAATGGTGACCTTGGAGTTCTTGTTGGCCTTGAAAAGGCCCAAGTCGGACTTGTGGAGAGAGAGAAGGGCGCGACGCAGGATCTCGCCCAGGAACATGCCCGAAACACGCTTCTCAAACATCTGCACACCGGGGTTGTTGCTGTCGGCATCGAGCTCGTCGTCGAATACGGTGGTGGGGAGAACGCTCATGTGGTTATCGAAGCTACCCCACTCGGCGTTGATGATCATCTCGCCGGAAGAGTTGTCAAAGTGGGCATCCTTCATGTGTTGGAGCTTGGTGATGTTCTTGGTCTTCTCCACGTAGGCACCGTTGGTACCGGTACCAAAGATAGCACCAAGGAAAGTTCCGGTCTCACCGGGAGAGGTGTATGAGCGGGCCATCAAAGTACCCACGGTGTCGTTGACCAGGGCAGCCACGCGCACGGGTAGGTTCAACTCATCAATGGCGGACTGGAGCAAGGCACATACATCGTGACCGACGGCATCGGGAATGTTGAAGCCCTTAGTCCAGCGGATCAGGGTTCCGCGGTTAATACCGCACTGGCGCACGGGGAAACTGAAGGTGAAGCCCAGATCGAACAGGTCCTCCGCGTTACTATCCTCGCGGCGGCGCAGTTGGTGGGCCTCGAAGTGCTCGTTGTGGTGAATGCGCAGGAAAGATTCGATCTGGCGGGCCAAGAAGAGGAAGAGGTCCTTGGAAGTACCCGAGGCCATCAATTCCCGGGGAATCAGGATCTTGGATTGGGTGAGGGAGAAGGTAGTATCGCCATGCAGGAGGACCGAGCACACCCGGAAGTTGGTGCCACCCAGATCAACAGCCAAGTACAAACCCTGGAGTAATCAGCCGACAATTCCCCATGCGACCAGACGGGGGAGTCTCACCTTTTCGGTTCCGTTTGGCACCGCCGTGACGAATGTTGGGATCTGGCTCAATGTTGTGCCCTCCTTGGCCAAACCCTCATCTGACTGACGAATGTATTCTTTCACCCCGCGCTGCACCTTGTCGGCGGGGTATTCGAAATCGCGCGCAATGCGCGTAGCCTGGTCCAATAGAGACATGGTGTGACAAAGACGGGTTCAAGGTAGCCGGCTAGAGAGGTATGTCACTGAAGATAAAAGACAGAATAAAAAAGGGAAACGCGGGATTAAAAGAAGCGAAAAGCGGAAAGTGAAGTGGGATGACGGAGGGGTTTCCATGAGGTCAGTCCGATACCTTGGCAGTACGGACTACTCCGGGCTATTATTTACTTCTTCTTTACTTATTTACCTCTTTATTTATATGGCCGGATTCGCCGGGAATTTGATTTGAGTACTTACTTACCACTAGTAGTTCAGAACCGACAGAACACAATGACAATGTAGCCCGGAAGCAGCCCTACATTCCTGGCATTGGAATCTCTCTCTATGACGCTATGAGTTCTCCGTACCGTTTGAAATTAGCCGTCTGCGGGGGAAGAATGTAATTGGTCAATCTCCTTGACCTGCATGGTTTTTCCCCGACTTCACCGGTGAGTGACATTGGTTAGGACCTGGGGAATTGTTCCTTGCTCTTCCCTAGACATGAGAAACTTGTATATTTCTGGAATATGGTGTCTGCTTATTCTTTGTTTCAGCTGACTCTGGTTTATTTTATTTATCTTTCTCTCTTCAACAAATTCCCATACGCTGTATGTCTCAACAGTATGGAGCAGTCATAGAGCCGATCGGGATTGCCGGCACAGCGACTCGGCTCCAGGCTCATTGTGAATGGTCAGTGGCCCGAGAATTACGGAATACCGAGTGGACGCGAATATCTGGAGCCCCAGATGAGACAAGTGGCTTTTCGGTGATTAATAGTTACTCAAGTATGTTGGACATATTAGCCTTCCAGAGTGCGGGCTTGGGAAACCAGTGACAAGACACCTGGAATTGAGCTGTACCTACTCCATACTGCGAATTGAGACATCTCGTACTTGTACCCCGAATAAAAACATTGCTTTCCAAAGTTCAAGGACAATTACTTTGTACGTGAGCCTGCAGGCACAATGTGCATGTAAATATGAGATGATCATTTCAAAAGCAATCATGAAAGTATGCCGTCTTTCATATTCATTCACTGATTGGTGCCCTCCAGAGCTGAAAAGAGTGCTCCTTGCAGAGTACAGTAGAAATTACTGCTCTTGGTGTTGTACTTCCAACTCATATGCAAGACACACCGCCAACTGGTCAACTGGATGACTAACCCCACGTGACCTCCAACATCCTCCGAACTGATCGGGTGGTGAGCGGGCATCGTGGATCACTTCATTCAATCTGAACAGGACCTGTCCTTGCTGTTGAAAATGGGTGCTGGAAACTCTAAGCCCGAGGCCTCGGCCAGCTCACAACATGTCTTCTCCAGGTAATGCTCTCCGACCTCAAGTTCAGCTTCCGCGGCATAACGTGCTTGATGGCGGAAATGGAGCCAACCTTTCAATTGGCATCAATTGAGAATGGCAGACTACTTCCTCGGCTTAAAAGAGCCCTCAAGCTTCACCCACCACTTGCGAAACCTTGAAGCGCACCCACATATCTCGCAGCCGACACTAACATCAACGAACAGCAACTCCCCCGTGCAATTCTCCTCGAACCTAGTCGATGCGCTCCAGTCCAACTCGGAGGTATGAAAAGCACCCAGCCCAAAAAAACCAGAACCCAAACGCAGAACATAAAACTCACCAATCTAACCAGTCCGACTCGACCCGCGCCAAAGCCCTGGAACTCGAGATCCAAAACCGCGTCGCCCAGGAACTGCAACGCCTCCGCGAGCGCGAGCAACAAACCCTCGCACAGATCGAGAAGCGCATTGAGTCCAAAGACACCACCCTGCCCATCACCGCAGCCACCGCGCCCCTCGCCCCCTCCTCCGGCTACACCGAGGGCTCTCTGAACCTGGACGCACCTCGCATCCCCTTCGCCGGACGTCACCACGACCCCGCGCCCACATACGCCGCGCCCCAGGAAGCTGCCCCCCAGCCTGCTAAGCGGGATGTCTCTCGTGATGCTGTGGCTGTTGAGATCGATCAGCTGCGAAGTAAGCTTGATGGACGGAGGAAGTTGACTGAGCTTGATGGCGAGGTGGCCAAGGCTCGTGCTGATGTGACTAGCTGCTTGCAGTTGAATGATCGTCGGCCGTTGAACTGCTGGGAGGAGGTTGATGCTTTCAAGCGTGAGGTTGCGCGTATGGAGGCTGCTTTCGTGGATCGCATTGTCGGTTAGATTGGGTTTATGGTGGCTTGATGAAACTCTACGTTTTGATGGGCCCTTGGGCTGGAGCTACTGTGCTGTATGTATAGAATGTGCATTTTTCCTTTGTTTCCTGTCATCTGGATAAGATAGAATAAATCCATATCATGATGGCTTGGTTTCGGTCATTCAGTCTTTCATGGACTTTGAAATTGTTACCTGATCTATGCTCTAGAATTACTGGCTCGTGCGGGAGATTTTGATCCTCAACTGGGTATATTTGCCGTCATTTTCTTCTTATACAAACTCCCACTGGCCCAGCCGGCCGATCTTCTCGCCAGCGGTCCGAATGATACACATTCGCCTTTCAGAGGGCTTGGACTCCAGGGCCAACACCTTCGAAAGCTGAATGCATCCAATGCCTGTACTTTTTCCTTCGGAGAGATTGTAATTGCCCGTTGTGACAAATCCAATCAGGTCTTCCTCCATGGGCACGTCCAGGGTCTCAGAATCGGGGTCATCAGATATAGATGCCATCAAAGACTCGGCAAGTTGACGTCCAGCTGTGACAGAGGCAGGGGAAGCCTCATCACTCGCCGCCTCTGGTCGGGTAGACTTAAGCTTTGAGGCAAGCGCAAGCCATTTTTGACGTAATGTTGGATCCGAGGGAAGTCGATAAATGCGTGCACGGGGTGTGGGTGTGCCCCTAGAAATGAGGGAGATATGAACAGTGGCAAGAGCGGAAGCATTGACCGAAGACTTGTCAAGCTTGTCCAGAGTTTGATTGGTATCAATCCGCGGGAAGCGAACATTATGGAGGTCGAGGGGTGGAACGGCGAGACTGGAGGCATCATCTGAGTCAGACTTCTTCACCTCAGCTGCCTGTTTCTCAGATGGAACCTTGTGGTTGACGTCGGCACTTTGGGACGGCCCTTGAATCAGTCGTTCCCAATCACAAGCCCAACCGCGGCCAATCTCGCCCTTTGGCCGGCCTTCTGCCAGCGAGAGGCTGTCAAATTCGGGACGGCGCCCTTTTGGACGGCGCTCCCATTCATCCTGAGACTTCTTCGTCTCGCGTTGCCACCATTCCCAGCCTGCTCGGGTTCCCGGGAAGTCTCCAGGGAACCAAGCTTCACCAGCTTCAAAGGCAAGTTGTTGCTGTTGCTTCAGTCCACCAAGCAAGGGATTGCCTCCGCTGGAAAGCGGGTAGAACATGAGCGAGTACCATACCGGAACGACGCATTTCCATGGCAATAGAATAGTCCAAGAGCCCGGGGCGTTGCTACGCTTCTCTCGGGCTTGGGGTTTGTTTGCCATGATCATGATAGGAATTTGGGGATCAGTCGGCTGGGCTGGTGGGTAGTTACCGGGACCAGCAAGAGTGCGTCGCCGGTTAATAGCCTGCTGGCTGGGGAGCTGACGAGCTGCCGTTAATCGAGTGGATCGATCGAACAGCGTCGATGGGCCTTGTGTTTTGTCGGGACTCCATTGAGAAAGTAAAATGGCAAGGTCGTTCATATGAGATTCGTTATCAGGAACGTGATGTGTGCGTGGTGGGAAATGTAGACGAGGGTCGGAGACAGCAAAAGACAGCAAAGCATTACTTGGCAATGAAGAAGGGTTTGAAACACCGAGAAGAGCTGGCCAAACAGCTTCTGGGCTTTGTGCTGGCGGTCCATTAGAGTCAGGTTCAAGGATTGGTTTCAAAGTTGCCAGTAAGGCTTCGGTAGATCCAGGCCCAGAGATTTCGATACTGCCGATATCGAAGCGCAGGTCTTCAACCATGACAGGAGGGTTCTGCTTCTTAGAACTGTCGAGAACATCATTCCACAGCTGGAGAAATGCCGAGGGGTGGACCCTAATCCAAAGCTTTCGGTGGTCTTTCTTCGATGACTTGGATTGAGGCTGACCGGCATCGACCATCTCGACATCCTGTTGCTTGGCACACCATACCAGTGTCACCGGTGCAATTGGACGTAAACGATGGTCCTTCTCGAATGTCCAAGTCTGCAGAGATCGGGTACCGGCTCTCCACTTCTTCCCCTTTGTACCCCATGCAACATCCCCATCAACGCCCACTGCCATGAGAACAGCCTGGATAGCAGCTTCTGTGCCTTCCAGCTGGATCGTGGACATATAACTCATGTCCCAAGCTATAGCACCCCTGGCGCCTCTGGCACGGTGAGTGGGCCGATAACTTTTCTCGGTAGGAGACAACGGGACTGCAAAACGCCATAAAGGATCTTTGGTCGTGGCCATATGGGCCCGTTTGGCGTGGTATAAGTGCGTGGGTAGCCAAGTCTTGCACTTTTGGCGCTTGCGATATTTGGGTTCTGCGGGCGTGGGTCTCGACAGCTTGTTCTTCTTGATCTTGGGTACCCGTGGTGCGATATCAAACATATGACTCCCTTGCTCTTTCAGATTTTTCTCGTCTTCTTTCTGTTCCTTGGTTCTCGCAGCTGCCCGTCGGGCCTTCGCTTTGGCGTTCAGTGCTTGCAGCCTCCGGGCGGTATCAAGACGAATGCGCATGATCTGAGACGGTTTGCGCCTGCGCGCGGTAACCGTGGGCGTTTTATCTTCGACCATCTGCATAATTTAATAATGTTAGCCATCTATTCTGTGCCGTAGTGTATTGATTGAAGGCAATACCTCTCGCTTGGCTCGAGCTCTCAACCTCTGTGGAACGCGCTTCACATTGTGACTCGCTGTACGGCGCCGGAGCGAGCGAGGAACTTTCTGAAATGCCCGTGTTGTGAGTGCATTTTTTGACCGTTGCATCCCTTCCTCGAGGGCTTGAATCTCGAATGCCCGAGCTGCAGAATAGGCGGCGACATCAAGTTCGCCTGTTGCAGAGAGTGCGGCGTCGGCCGACTGCACGGCCAGTGTACGCGCATCGTAGGTTTTGGCGCGCTTGTTTGATCCTCGAGATGCTTGCGGGCCTGAGGGCTTCCGCTTGGGAGGGTTGGAAGCCATGGCTGGTCTAAAGTTGTGTCGGTGGTTGCGGCGTAAAAAAGTTGCCGGGCTTGGCGCGTCATGATCGGCGGCCCCACGATACAACTACTAGTACATACTATGCTCACGGAGTATTCCAAGCCAAATACTATGCAATATTCTCCCCACGAAATACGCGTACAAAGCTTCATTCTGGTAATTCTACCTCGAAAACTGTCATCATAGGGTTGGAACAAATTTCATTATGCACACTAAGTGCTATATGGTTGGCGGCCTCTGAGATGCTACATCACAACAGCGACATGATCCGTCATGTACTTCTTGATGCTGCCCATGAAGCAAGCCGCCAGGATAGAGACACCACCAAATGCAATACTGACATAGTATACCCACTTGTATCCCTCAGCATAGGCGATCTGCCCTGCTTCCACTACCATTTGGTAGGCAGTTTCGTTGCCAGCAATCCCAGGGATCAGGCGCAGCTCATCAAGCAACGAGGCACCTGTCAACTCAATTGCTTCGCCGATGAGCTTGACGTCGGTGATATTGAGCTCTGTCATCATCACGCCGCCAATGTAATGGGTTGCTGCCGGCACAAACTTGGAAATAAAGACATTGTAGTAGATGGTATAGCCAATACCACCGCCTACAACACGGATAGATAGAGTAAGCGCCGAGATGGTGGCAATGAGATCCTAATGCACAAGTGTCAATAAATGGCAGTCATCTCTGGGCCAACTTGACTTACATCTGGGCAGATGATTGTGGTGATGATCGAGGCAGGCACTACAATGCCCCCGATTCCGAGGCCTGCGAGAACGAGAATACCCCAAAGTTGGTACATGTTATTAGTTCGTCCAATTGACATGGCTCCACATCCTGGTTGAGAAGCTGAGGTCAGATTTGAGACATCATCCAAATTTACGGAGTTGACCTACCTGCGGTCATCAGAACACTACTGATGATCAAGAGTTCCTTGTTATGTCCTCGGAGGACGGAAAGTAATGCGAGAACAATACACGCCCCTGCCATGATTCCAAACCCAATTGGAATACTGCGGACACCCACGTCGACCGGGTCATGACCATAGACGTTGAATGACTCCGTGGGCCAAAACATCAGCACAGAGAAGAAGTTGGCACCAGAAATGAAAGTGATGACAAGTGTTAGACCTAGAGTGCGAGGCTCTTGCTTCAAACGGGAAGGGAAGATCGGATATTTAGCTCCGTAGATTTCCCAGAAGCCAAATGCGACAAGCAAAAGGAATCCAATGATCAGCGGCGCCAGAACATGGGCTGAGCTCCAAGGATACTGGGCACCAAGTTAGCAACTTAGACAGTGATGATGGGGTATCTTCAGTCAGTCTCACCATATATCCACCCCATTGCAAGCCCGCCAAGAAGACAATCAGACCTGTGATACTGAGGAAACCACCAACAAAGTCAATTCTACCAATGATCTCCTTCTTGCTAAGTCCCTGGGAGTTGACTCGCGGGGGAGGAAAGTAGAAAAATATTGTGACCAATAATCCAAAGGCACTCCATGCGCCACAAAAGGCTCCAACGTACCGCCAATGGCTGTAATATGCGATAAGCTGGGCCCATAGCACAGATGGACAGAATGGTACGATGGTGAAGATAAGTGCCGAGACATAAACACCTCGTTTCCGAGTTGGTGCCATTTCAGAGGTTGCAGCAAGGGCTGTTAACTCGTTAACTCCAGCTCCAGCTCCAGCAATGGCCATTCCGGCTAGATTGAAATGTCAGCGAAGGAATATATGGATGGTAATCAGCCAATGCATCGTACCGATAAAGTAATTCATCGAGTTCACTGTACTGCACACAATCATTCCAATGACAATTAGGGAAGCTCCGATGATAGCGACTGGGCGACGGCCGATTAAATCGGATATAGATCCAACGAAAGGACATACACCTGCAAGACCGAGCAAATTTGCAAGGACCTGTTCATTAGCCCCCAGCACAATGTTCATCCGAAGGTATCCACTCACAAACCAGACCCATCGATCTGCTCCACCAATATCACCATAGATATAGGGTGGAATGCCACCTGGAATATGGGTATCAGACTTGATTAATCAATGGTTCGTAAGATTGGATTACCGAAAAGATAGACAGGAATCTGGCTTCCAGTCCACAAGAAAGCCATGGCAACAAAGCCCATGAAACGACGGAATGTCATCTAAAAACAGTCAGCGAAGCTTTATAGATATCTCAATCTCTTCCTACCGGGACGTCCATCTCCGACTCGTGCATAGCTTCTTCGGACCTTGATCCATCCTTTTCCTGGTGGCTGGTGTGCTCCGAGTCGCTGTTCTCATGGTGTTGGAATGCCGCCTTGTCATCGCCCGCGCGACTCGATTGATGAATTGCGTCCATGACGCACGCTAGTCACGATTGTCACCCGTGAAAGAAGACAGAATAATTCCGAAATGAATCCTCAATTTCAGTAAAAATGCGAGGAGCTCTGGGAAATAGTCGCTGGCCCCACTAAACTCAAATAAGATTGGACGGTGGGAAGTCGACTCGTCAGACTCCGGCTAGTACTTGGGAAATGACAATTCCCTGGAGAATCGACAGATAATATAGCTCACCCAGACATTCTCGTCTGGACTGTGCCGTGTCATTTCGGAAATGCCCGCCCCTGGGTGTAACGAATCACAAGGAGATAGAATTTGTGGATGGCGAACAAGCTAATGCGCCATGACACCCAGGGAAGCGATAACCGGGCCAAGAATGCTTGAATCCAGAAAATACCGAGGCAGCTTGGCGATTTCCGGGTAATTCTGGACATTTTCTGGCAAATCCGGGGGGCGAAGTGGTCCTAGCGGAACAAAATGCGGGGAGAGAAAAACGTGGAGAACCGATGCATCATTCACTCGGGTCTCGATCCTACCGCTCCGGAGGCCATGCCTGAACGGGGATCAGCCCCGAAACTATGTGGGAGAAAAAGGTTGGGTTCAATTTTGTACAATAGTAGAGATATCTGTTGGAGTGAAAGGGTGAAAGGGTGAAAATGTTAAAACATGACAAGATGACAAGGAAATGTGTATGTATACAGTGATGCTTCATCTAGAAGTCTTAGGGGTCGTGTGTTTTTTGCGGCTTGATGCTGATCTCCTGGTTGAGTGAGTCTGTGGCAGGACACAGTCTCAGTGTGCCCCAAAGTCACACGGCCAGTGTTCCAGACTCGGAAATTTCAAGCCATCTAAAGAGTGTAATTCCAAGTCGATCCAATGAGAAGTCCGAATCTCGGGAGACTGGAGGTCTTGAGCAAACCGAACGTGCTTGGGACCAGCGAAGAAAGGAGCAGAAGGAGTGGAAATCCTGAGAGGTGGAGGAAGCAGAGGAGAAGGAGAAGGTTCTGGGTTTGAAGTGCTGCGCGACTTTTCTTGGGAAGGCGCAGACGGGGTCAGAGGGTCAGAGAAGTTGCGCGAAAAAGGCCAGTCTGGGTTGGGACTTAGAGAGACGCAACGACAGAAAGGGCAGGTACTGGGTTGCCCTGGGTGTTGGTGAGTCCCCGTCGAATCCTCAGGCTTCCAGACCTAACCTCTTCATCCAATTCAAGATCAAACTGTTGACTTCGAGGCGGACTTCGAGGCGGACGAACAGGACGCATATGGCTTAAAGCCCGGGTTTAAAAATGCTCCCCGACTTTGGCGAGCTTGAGCTTTTTGGGGACAACGAAAAGACCCGATGCCTCGACACAGATCTTCCCTGTCATGTCGCGAACCTCACATCTGGCGTAGGCCTTGCGGTCCGTGCTCTCTTCCTGGTCCAGGGATGTATGCAGGGTATAGAACTTGTCCGAGGTCACTGGGGCGCGGTAGTTGAGGTTGAGATTTGCTGTGACCCCTGTTCGTTCTGGGAAGTGCCGAATAGCTATTCTTCCCAGGTTCTCGTCGATGACAGTTCCAATAGCACCACCATGGACCATAGTTGGCCAGCCCTCCATCCCGCGCCCCAAGAACACCACGCTAACGTTCTTTTTTTCCTTGTCGTTCCAGAAGACCCTCTATCAAAAAGCATGGTTAGAAAAGAACGGGATTCTGAGGTTCGGCATTGAAGACAATCCGGCAGTTGTGCATGTCCTTCTTACATGACATGCGCCGGACACAAAGAGGACATGGAACTCACCTGGAATCCAAGGCCCCTGCTTCCCGCCAAGGGACCAGAGGTCAGCCGATGAGATTTGTGCTCATCCGCAAAGTTGTCGTATACACTCTTTTCCTCGTAGTCAGGGTCACTGCGTAGTTCTCGCACGAGTGGGATCGCATCAAACGCCTGCTGCAGGTCCAAAGAAAAGTACTTGTCCTCCGGTGAGCCGGGGAGGAATGGTGGACTGGAGATTTTGCTGTCCACCCAGCCACCGACGCTGTAGCCAAGTGTTCCAAAGATTCCCGCATAAACTAGACGGCGCGTCCACCTCGATGGTGGCTTGGAAGCAGTTGGAGATGCGGTGCTCGCATTTCGAATCGGTTGGTGCCAAGCTCGTCCTTGAACTGTTTGCCGGCGTAGGGCTGACTGGAATATTCTGCTAGAAGAATTCATCGTCACATTGCCATTCACTTGCTAGGTGTTCATCGCAATCTTTGAATTGGGACCGAGGCTCTGGTCACGTGTACAGTTAGGAAGTTCTGCTGGCATTTTGCGACACCGCCAGAGTGTCCGCTCCACCGCCTATTCGAGGTCATTGTTTACAGATACGAGTACGAGATTTCGAGGAAGAATGGAGGAAGAAATGGTAAAAAGCAAAGGCGACACCGCCGTCATTCATGTGCATCGTTTCTATTCATCTCGCAACATTTGAAAGCTTTTGCCCTTATGAACGAATATTCAATCATACAAAACCCAATCACTCAGATGTAGGTAGATCAATAGCACGGTAGAGACAAATCAAGGCGGAGTGAGATTCACCTGGATGTCCTGTTAGCAAAGAGCTTGTGTGTTTGTGAAAAGATTGACTTGCCACCACCGGAGAGGGTTTCGATTTTCTGTGCCTCCACCTCTGTCACTGTGTCATCGTTGAACCACCACCACTTGTCATCCTGCTCGCGGCGCTTGTTGCCGGTTTGAGGCTCATCACGCTCTTGCTTCTTGACATAAGCAGTGTAGTGACCACTGTCAGCACTGGCACCCTGGTGAGTGATCACGGCACGAAGCTCATACAAGCCAGACTGGTTGGTTCCGTTGTCTGCAGCGCCCCTTTGGGTGAGGAGCTCTTGGAGTTCTTTCTTAGCAACGCGGATCGATTCCGTTCTCTCTGCCTCATATTCGGCGTCGGTCTTGAAAGTTTCCTCCATCTGAGTATCACCGTCCTTGTCGTTGGCCTTAGCTTTGTTCTCCTCAGTAGCCTGCTTCTTCTGCATCGGCTCAACGTTGGAACCCAAGTCGGTTTCTTTGCTTTGGCGCTCGGCGCGCTCTTCCGCGATGCGTTGACGCTTCTGTGCTCGCTCAACGTCTTCCTCCTCCTTGCGAATCTCACGGACCTTGTCACGGACAGGAATGAGTTGCTTGCGGAGGTCCTCAGTGCAGAATTCCACCACATCCAACTCAGCTGGGAACGTAACCTTGCGCATGATCTTGGCCTTCTTCTGTGTCTCACGCTTCCAGAAGAATCGCACAAAATGAACAGTCAGGTACTTTGGTAGTCGCGCAATGCGAGACCGCTTCTTGTACACCGAGTTGCGCTCCAAAAGAGGGGAGTTCTTTTCAATTTCCTCCTCCAGACCAGCTAGAATTCCATCCTGAAGGTGGTTGGTTTCCTTTCCGATGTGGCAATCCAACTTATAGAAAACATCTGAGCTTTGACTGGGCTGCTCACCAAGTTCCTTCGCAGCTGGATCCTCGCACTCAGTGACGGATTCAAATTGGCCGGCAAGATATTTGTCGACGAACGAGGTCTTTGTGGAGGTCTCTCCCTCTCCGTCGGTGATGGTCAACTTGGCTCGCAGCTGGTTCATGATCTGAGAGAAGGCTTCTTCGGCGTCCTGCTGTGCGTATCCTTGCCCATTGCGGTCACGCTGGGCGAATTGAGGGAAGACTGATCGGAGAGCGTTGAGGAACATCAGAGGAGGAATACCTTCCTGTGTCTCAGACATCTGCTTGAACAAGTCTCGTAGTGAAGCGGCCAAATCCCGGGAGCCGCCAAGACCACCAAGACCAAAGCTGCTGAGGTCTGACAGACCAGACTGGCCAGCACCTTCGGTTGGGCGGTATTTGAGCAGCTCCTGCTGGAGCTCTGGCACACTGCGCAAAGTTTGTAGAGTTGAGTTGAGATAGCATGTGTTTCCCAGATTCTGCAAACCGGCAGGAGTAGCACCCTCTTGTTTGGCCACCTCGGCCGCAGTCATGTCTTCCAAAAACTTGATGGCTTCTTTTGGTCGACCAAGATCAGCAGCACCCTGACCTCCGGATGGCGTGCCCATCATCATAAACATCTGCCCGGGTTTGGCATTGAGGGAGGAAAGAGGCGTCTCATCTTTGAGTTGGCCACCTTTGACCAGAACCTTTTGGCGATCGGGCTCGACGCCGGTAAGGGAGAAGAGTTGGTACTTCAAGGTCTCGCCATTGGAGGTAGGGTCGAGCTCGACTTCGTGACGCTTGCCGGCATGCTTAACAATGACTGTTTTTTGTTAGTGCTCATCCACAGGCACTGCCGAAACATTCACACATACTAGGAATAGCTGCCATTCTGGATGAATTCGGGCAGTAAATGATGCAAGAGGGATAAGAAGCTTGAAAGAGCTTGTTGCTGAGGCAAATGATCAACACCGAGCGAGAAGCGTGGGGGAAAGCATTCACCGCCCGACCACCCGCACGTCACCTCCCTTCAGCCTAGGCCACTCTGTTTATCTAGGAATCCCTGAGAAACATCCACTGCGTCTGGCTTAAGGGGCAATCGAGGAATTCTGAAATTGCACTCCGTTATAACCTTATTCGCCAACCGGGTTCCCACGACCACGATCACCCCGCTATCATGGTCCGTCCCGCCTCCTCCAACAGCCCGTTTACAACTGACATGTCCAATTCAGTCGCAATCGCTCCGGCCGTATCTCCAGTGGCAAGTTCTGCTATATGACCAAGGTCTCTATCAGACATGCTAACAGCATAACAGCGTTCGGTCGTCTTTGACCGCCGCGCTTACGATCTCCAACTTCGCTTCGCAGGCATCGGAACGGCAGTAAGCCACCCCTGGTACAATAACAATTCATGGAATGCTAACCGGTTCGCTCTCCCTAGCAACACCCCACAAGTGGAAGCCCGCGACAGTCCCGAATTGCTTCTGAACCCGTCAGTCTAGCTAACCAATACTCCCCCGCTGGGGGCACCGGGCTAACATTGATGGATGTTTAGGTTGCACATTAGCAGAAATGAAAACGAGAAGGTGTAAGTGGAAATACATTACTCTTTCAGTCCACGTTACTCATCATGCACAGTTTCATTGAACCCTCCCGAAATTCCGTTCGAGTCTCCATCCGCATCAAGCAGGCAGATGAGATCGAGCACATCCTGGTCCACAAATTCACTCGCTTCCTCACCCAGCGAGCGGAATCATTCTTCATCCTGCGCAGGAAGCCGGTTGAGGGCTTCGATATCTCCTTCCTCATTACGAACTTCCACACCGAAAAGATGCTGACCCACAAGCTTATCGATTTCGTGATCGAATTCATGGAGGAGGTCGACAAGGAGATCTCGGAGATGAAGCTCTTCGTAAGTGTGCGGACAGTCTCTTTCATCGCAGGTCACTAATCTTTGATAGTTGAATGCCCGTGCTCGATTCGTCGCCGAGTCTTTCCTGACACCGGTACGTTCCCCTTGGGGATGATAGCTTAAGACCCATACTGACGGTTTCCAGTTCGATTAAATTACTTAGCGTTTTCTTGCCGATTCTGAATTATGAATGACCCTGTGTTTCCCACGTTCTACTCTTGTACAGATAGCACAGGCTTGCATTTAAGAGAGAGTTCTGTACTGGCTCCATTGTATCCTTGATCTTTCATCCCATCAATTGATTCATACCATCTTTTATTTGCAAGTAGTGCTTATGGTCGTTGCTATAGTTATAGGCTCAAACATGACAAGTTTGATGGTTTGCCATTATGAGGGTTTGGTCCTATGCATGCTTGCTCTCTCTGCATGTATGCTCTTTGTGGCTTGCATGAAGGAAGCACCTGCTATATAATAGAGGTCAATATCCCAAGTCTAACTGTCTCTTTTCCTTCTGTTTTTCATGTTGAGTGTCTTCTTGGTTTGTAATCTTCCCTGATTTAGATTGTATGACATTGCCTACATCCCAACATGTTGGCATTGTTGTATGCTTGGTGCCTTGGGTATCTAGGAAGTACACGCACAGTTGAGAGTACTGACAGTTGTTGAGCCAAGTGCCTCCTATCGAGATTGCTCTGTCAAAGGGCCTGGTACAAGACTTCCCAGCTTAGATCAAGTTCTACACAACTGTGTTGTGTAGACAGGGTTACGAGCGGGCCTGTACACGCATCATTAGCGGGATAGACGCAGGCTTCGGGGGCTTAGCAATGACGAGATCCATTCTAAAGTTGAGGTAGGTATATTCCTGTCTATATGGGTAGTTACTGACACAAATAGCAGGAAAAGGGCGGTCTGGCCGACAGTTCTAGTTGTGAAGTTGTTCAAAGCCTTTATAGTTCTAAAGCTGCGTACTAAATGCGGGGCGGCGAAACTGCCGCCGCCAGCTCGGTCGCTACCCCGAAATGTTTGGGCGCTGGGGGAGCAAGTCTGAGGTACGCCTCGTCACCCGCGTACATGCCCCCCATCAAAAACATCTCCATTTTGATCAGACCGAAACCAACGTTCCCATATGATAAAACATTTTCGGATGATTTCTAAATTAAAATAGATCTCTCAAGCTACAGTTTCATCTAATTTTCATCTCAGTTGGAGCTACTTTGAGGGCGGAGGAATTGTTTTAAGCTCATTGCTCCCTCCAAGGAGCTATACAAGCTGCGGCCGAGGGGTCTGTTACCAGCTTGATAACTGTGTAAAGCCATATAAATTCTCTCCCATCCAATACATGCTCCTGGTCAATAAGAATTGGGTATAGAATACTTTAAAGGGTCTATTCTAACATAAAAATATTTAAAAAATACATTCTCATACAAAAATGGGGGGTTTTGGCGATACTCGACATTGCTTGAGTGCGTGCCCCGAACGGCAACAAGCCCTAACCTGAGCTTTTGAAGTACCTCAAGTACCTTAAGTAGCCCCCAGCTCAAGGTACCCAGCCAATCATGTTCCGATCCTGGCCAGATATAAAATGGACTCCCCTTAAGCCGACGCACCCTCCCTCGTATTTATTCCTTCGGGGCACGCACCACTGCACGCCATCAACTTGCATCCAGCGAAGCCAATATGGCAGTTCCTACTCCAGATAAGCCTTTGAACCTCCTTTCCTTGGATGAGGAGGATTCTGCACCGGATCGTTTGGAGCCTGGCGTGGTATTGACTGCGTGGGATCAAGCCAATCGTTCTGGCACGTCCACTTCAGATGACAGTGGGACACTCCCAGCAACGAGCACCCCAAGACCTACTACGGCTGCTACCAATGTATGCAATGTATGGAGCTCCCCCAGCTCTATGTGCACGCATACAGATATCTCGTCGTGGTCTGAAGGAGCACCACCACCACCACACCAACCTGAAATTGGAACTCCCACCGTTATTTCGACTACCCCAGCTCGATATCTTCCTCCTGGGAACGTTTTAGTTTCTAATATCTCCCTTCCCATTACTCCTTCTGTTTCTTCCCATTCCTCCCCACTCTCTTCTACTTCTTCATCACTTCCTTCTGTCAGTACTCTTACCGCAGAAGACTTTTATTCCCAACGTCGCATCCATCCTTTTATCTTTCAAGATTTCCTTTCACACGTCAACTGGCTCGATATGGCGTGGCCTTTGGGTAACGAGTCGGGTCCAAACGACAACGTTCTGGCTCGCTTGCAGAGCGCCTCCGTTGAGGACCTGCTCCAGTCCGTCACAGCCACAATCGGCGAAACCACCAGCAAGCACCTCCCTGTGTTGGGTGGAGTCGTTAAAGTCACCAATGTAAGTTTGCTTTGACATGATTGAGTCTTTGTGACCCACGCTAACAATTTCATCTCCTTTAGATCCCGTACACCATTACACGCCAGGAGGTTAACAGCTTCCTTGGCCGAGGCAATAACCCCATAGGCTCTGACCATGGCCCTCATATTCACATCATCATGGAACGTTCAACTGGCAAGACTATGGACTGCTTTGTTGAGTATCGCACCTTGGAGGATGCCCGCAGAACGTGCGCTTCTCTCAACAGAAACTATGATCTTGGCAGTGCCCCCCGTATGGGTGCTCGCCATGTGGACGTGGAAATGAGTAGCGCCGCTGAGCTGATGAAGGCCCTCTTCCCGTTGGCCAAGTGCATCAGCTGGGTTAACGGTAAACCCGTTGTTTCTTCCCGCCGCCCATCATGGTCCACTGGGTTTGATGGCTTCTTGACTGATGAGGAGCTGTTCTGTCTCAAGCGCCACGCCGAGCAGCCTCATCGGGTAAGTTCACCTCACCTTCAGGCTCATGTTCTTGATAGCTAATGTGATGCAGAGCGCTTTCGCTAGCAAGATCCCTCAGCGTTGCTTTGAGTCACTGATCAGTACGATCTGGAAGGTTAGTCCATCATTCCCTGTCTGCATCTGTTTGTCAATCAATGACATGCTAACACTCTTTGTCTTGCTCCATAGTTCCCCTGGAACGCTAACAACCTGTACACGATCTATCAGCGCAATCAGCTATTTCAACTTCTATGCCAGATGATCGACATTTTGATTGATCGTATGCATCAGAATAATACCGTGGGTTTGGATCATCGTCTCCTTCTGGAGTTGACCCGCACAGGAATCAACTGCCCGGGCTTTAATCCTCGTCAGAAGTGGACTGTCGCGTACCACTCCCAGGACCGCAACATTATGCGCACCGTCAGCCAAGACTGGTGCATTACATTCCCCTTTGACTGTTTGAGCTACTTGCCAAACCTTGTCCCTCTGGATCTCAAGGTATGAAAGAGATCTGATGAAACTTTGCTTTGAAGGCTTTACTAACGTTTATGTTTGATTTAGATGATCGCCTATGTCATGTCTCATGGCGTGGTCAACTTCACCGGTGGCGAATTCAAGCCAGTCACCAACATCCCTGGTGTCCGTCACCCTTGGGGACCCAACTATTTTGAGTGGACCCCTGATGCGGCGCGCAACGTTATGTTTGCCGTGGCCCTCAAACATGAGGCGGATATCATTCGGGCTTTCGTCAATACTGGTTTCTCGAACCTCCTTAAAGGACATTTGAGTACCTCAACTGTTGGTACTGCTCCCACCTCCTCCCAGGAGGGAGACAACGGATCTGTTAGCAGCTCTCGCACGATCCTTACCAATGCGCAAATCTCGTCTGGAACAGGTCGCCCCTCTGTGGTTGTGGTACCCTCGCGGGATCATTTGCCTCCGGGGGCTCCTGCGCCCATGGGCAGAGTGGACGATCCTGTCCCGCTTCGTGAGCCGCCCGAGCTGCTTGTGTGGATTGAGAAGAACGTGCCGTTGCCATTCTCACCTGCTATGCCTGCGGCAACCCAAGCTGCTGGACCTGCGACTCCAGCTGCCAATTCTTGGGCCGCCCAGGCTGCTAATCCTTGGGCTAACCCAGAGGGTACCACCTCGAACTTCCCGAGACCCATTATCCGGCCTTTCCGCCGGCGAGCAATGAGGGCTGTTCATCGTGATCCACGGGAATTCACCAAGGACTGGGTCTTCCCTTTGACTCCCACTGCGGAGGAGCCTGCTGCAGAGGAAGCAGCCGATGCGACCCCCCGAGCTGGATCCCAGCGTACTGAGGCGGTTCCGACAGTCGATCGCCCCTTGTCCCAGCAAAGCAGCACATACAGACCTCCTCACGTGCGCAACTTGACTGCCGATAGCGTCGCCTCCGGAGTATCGGATCTGGTTACACGCACTCGTGGCATGAACATCTCCACTTCGTCCAGTGGAAGCAGTGCGGCTACTTACCACGTGCCCCACGCAACTGCACAGAACGTGCGTTCGTCATCCTTCTCGGAATTGGAAACTGCACCTCTCTCCATGGACATGACCCATCACCACTCATACTCAGAGGTCTTGCGCGACACCGGTTTCACGGCCTCGCGTCGTTTCGATCCTACTATCTGGGCGGCGAACCCCATATTCGCCAACAGGGGCCCTCCTGGCCTGCTTCCAGCAGCGACCATTGAGCAGCAGCCCTCTGCTAGTGGTGAGTCCAGTTCTGAGCAGTCTGTCAGTACTGGGCTTGGCTCTGAGCATCAGTAGTCTCATACTTGAGGCTCAATCTGATCGTCATACATGAAGCTCTTCATTCGAGGAACACTCTGGGGGCGTATCAGCAACATGGTTTTGGTATCGCGATCTGGTTTTTTCTATCTGGTTTTTTCCCCGTGGTGTTATTTCTCTTTCAGATGCATTTTCAGCGCAAGTCTGACTGCATTTTCAGGCGCATGCACAAGCGCATTGTTGGGTTCTTTCAGGTGCATTTTCAGGTGCCATCAGGTGCCGCCAGGTGTCTTCAGTTGCTATCGGTTATTCTTACTCTTGACTATTCTTAGTCTTAGGTGCTCTTATTTGCTTTTCCAATTATTCTTAGCCTGATGTTTATCCCAGGCACGTGAAAGGATCCATCGGGAGAGGATGGTTGTTGGGCCGTTGGTGATCACGTCAGATAGCTAGTTTCAATGCTTTTTCAATGCTTCTGCTGTGCCTTTGACGTAGGACTTTGGTCTGTATATTCTCTGTAGATTGGATTGTAGACTCTTTTGGTGTCGTTTGTGGAGGTGCAGGAACATGTATATCTTGTTTGTAGACTAGCCTTCAAGGTTGGATTTTGTCTTTCCTTTAGTGCAAATCCTTCTCATCGATCCCATTGATCCAGATTAAAGGGGCATTGAGTGATATAGCATTGAATGCCATTACTTTCTGGGTTTACGATCTTTCTTTCACTTTCAGCTCAGGAATCGTTGTTTGCTACTCCTGAGGTCTCTTTGATCTATGAGGTTGAGCAACCTCTGTGTTACATGAGATGGTCTGGTATCTATCTTCATCTTCTCCCTTATGCTTCTCCCTTCTTCAAGCATCCCGAGAAACTTCCTTTACTGCCATGCTGCTATCGAGTCCCCTCTTCCTCCCTCTCTCTCAATCATTCACCTCACATTACCCCCACGGTGAGTTTACTTACTTGGCTCAGCATTTGATCTACATCCCTCTTGGCTTTATTTCTGACTCGCCATACTGATTTGACCAAGAAACAGGATGTGAAATATTCAACCTTCGTGGCATGAAAGGCTGGGCGGACTAGCCACTTCGATTCAAGATCAACAGGGCGTGGGCCGAGCCTCATGGCGTCGTTCCCGACGAGTGGAAAGATATTGCACAGCCTCTGGCGCAGACGACGGGTAATTCTCAGGCTATGCAGACCCCTGTTAAGCGTATGATCTTTACCCTCTCAGCCAAATCAATTGTTCTCACCTTTTGGTCCCAACTAACAATTCACAGGACCCCACTCTACTATGCAAGTAGGCCCAAAGCAAAATTCCGAGCGCTTCCGCACGATTGCCGAGCGATAGACGTTGGTGAAGATATTATGCATATTCTCGCACCAACGCCAACCCCGAGGCTGAGGCTGAGGCTCTCAACGCCAGTGGATCTGATGGAAATGTCGATGCTGATATTGAGGATGGCAACCAGGAGGATTCGAAGCTAGACAGCATCTAGATGGTGGTCTGGTATCTACGAATCGGAGGACAATACAAGAGATGGGGCATAGGGCAGACACGCGGGTGGCTGCGGTTATTTGTTTTGTGTTCTCCATCTGATGAACATCCAGCTGCTCTGGCCCTGAGAACAACTTCAGTCTTCTCTTTCAATGGTTAGGTACAAATGGAAAACAGCATTAACTGTCTATGACCACGGAGTTTCTTTTCCCAAATCTGCATTCAATCATTTTTCACGGATGTTCTATTGGGACAATGCTGACCTGTTCCCTAATCGTCCAGAATTACTCAACTGATGCGCCCACTGTCGCTGGAAGCTATGTGGAAAGGTCCAGATGTGACATGGTGCTACCTGGGCACCCTTGGGTCTGAAATGGGTGAAATCTTCCAGTGGAAGTACCACTCAGGGTGGAACTGGCGCAAACAACATGACTAGAGGCGTATCGAATTGGAGAAAAGGCTTCACTTTGCTCATCACATCCAAGGATTGTCATTGCATGGCTTCGGAGGTCCAGGAGTGTTGAATTGATCTCAGGGTCAACTTGGCTACTTGTGGTTATGGGAACCGCCCCATTTTGACCCCATTAATGTATGGATATTTCAGTGTTGATATCTAGTAAAAGACAACCCATAAAATAATTATATCCTGTACTTCAGTATGACAAATTCAGGGAAAAGCGAAAAACGTAAGGGTAAGAAAAAGCGGAGCATTTATTACAGCCGGTTTTAAAGGCATGCGGGCCCCTTGAGTCCTTTTTCTTCTTTTTTTCTACTCAAGTCTCTGTTCTCTTTGCATATATTCTCTCTTTTTTTTCATTGGCAAATTCGACTGTAGAAATTCTCTAGAAACAAAACAAAAAACCCACAAACGGAAAAAAAACAAAACAAAACAAAACACTTTAGGTATCATTGCAAAAGCTCCATGGCTCGACCATCTGATGCCGTGTCGCCTGAAGCGCCTGTGGCGTCAAAACGACGCGCTTCAGCTAGGCTGTCGGCCGCCGAACCGGAGGTCAAACGGATCAAGTCCAACACCGATTTGAGTCTCCGCCAGGCCAGGTCCACAACCAGCAAGAGCAAGTACTTCGAAGCAGAGGACTCCGACCCAGATTCCGAGCCCGATTCCGAGCCCGATTCCGAGTCTGGTGAGTCCGGGGGGGAGTCCGCCGAGTCTGTGTATGAAGAAGCCAAAGACGAGTCGTCCTCAGCCGACGAAGCGGAGCCGGAGGAACTTTCCGAGAGCGAAGAGGACACCAAGAAGCCCACACGGGGCAAGAAACCGGCAACCGGCAACACCAACGCTTTGAAGAAGAAGGAACTCTGGCGCGAAGGCGTCAAGGTGGACTTGGAACCTGGACAGGAAGTTGTCATCGCGAAGCCCAAGGCGCGGGACGCGGGGGACACCCCATACGAGGATGAGACTCTGCATCCTAACACCAGACTTTTCCTCATCGACTTGGCCGCCAACAACGACCGTCAATGGTTGAAAGGTGCGTCAATACCATGCAGTAGGGGAGTGGCTGGCTGACGACCTGCAGCGCATGATCCGGATTACCGCGCGGCAAAGAAGGATTTTGAGACGTACGTCGATGCCCTCACACCCAAGATCACGGGGGTCGACGCTACTGTCCCTGAACTTCCGGTCAAGGATCTGGTAGGTTGAATCCCTGTCCTGGTTGTGTGGCACATGCTCACGTATGGTTTGCCCAGGTGTTTCGCATCCACAGGGATGTCCGCTTCAGCAAAAACCCGCTCCCGTACAAGGTATGCTAGTGTTGCCCCATATCGACTGCCTTGTGTTCGCTCGTGTGACAAGAGTGATACTGTGATTCTGGTTAGAAGTCTCTTTGCTGACACTGGTATGAAGACACATTTCTCTGCTGCTTGGTAAGTATCCCCCTCTGGGACATCAAGAATGAGTCACTAAGTATTGCACAGGTCTCGCACTGGCAAGAAGGGTCCATACGCGGCATACTATGTCCACTTCCAACCAGGCTCGTGCTTTGTGGGTAGGTTCACCCCATTTTGCTTTTATGACTCTCGATGTCGTCCTTGTCCCTATGCTTTGGTCCTTGTGTCTGATCTCTTGCTTGTTGTTTTATCATCCACATCGACTGACACCATTCCTTGCACAGGCTGCGGACTCTGGAACCCAGAAGCAGAGCCACTGGCATTGCTCCGAGAGGAGATAGACGAGAACTCATCTGCCCTAAAAGAGGTTCTTCGAGCGCCGGAGATGCGCCGAGAGTTTCTGAAGGGAGCTTCCGACGATGATGATGCAGTTGTGGACGCATTCACGCATCACAACCGAGAGTCCGCTCTCAAGACTAAGCCCAAGGTAAGAAACTTTCTGTGTCATCTCACCCTTCCCTGTCCTGGATGAGTCCAGTGTTCCCCAGCACCAATCATCCTTCCCCTTTGTGTTTTGTTTCAACCGTCACGTCAAGAGTCTATGGTTCATGGGTTGGGAGGTGAAGAGGGTCGAGGCAGGAATGCCTGATTCGCCATCAGCAGAGTCGTGTCCCCTCGTCCGATCGGGGCTCCTTGTATGGAGTCATGGGGATGGCTTCCATCCTCGGCCCTCGACAGTCATCGAGGCTTGGCGAGGACATTGACCTCACGACCGAAGCTCACGAGAGCATGTCCATGCAACCGGCCAAGAAAGTGAGAACATCTAGCACATGACTGCCAGAACTCCTTGTCCAAGAGGAGAGGTCGGAATACGCACGGGGTTACGGGAAAGACCCGTGACTCGGAACCAAGGTTCGGGGAAAATGGGTGTTGGAATACTCCCTACTCCTTCGAATGAAAAAAAAAGGAGTTCAAAGTTGTTTTGGTTATGTTCTGAGTTCTGATTTCTGATTATTCCGATTTTCGTTTTATTGTGACGCCGTCGAGTTTGGTTCCATGGTTCACATCTGCGCCAGGCTCCACGCTGATCCAAGGAACGCTCGCTGACAAAATCCAGGGTTACGAGGCCGACAATACGAATATCAAGTTACTTCGACTACGCAGTTTTACCATTGGGAGGCCAATTACTGATGAAGATCTCAACAATGAAGCCCAGGAGAAGATCATATCGTTGATCGAGATTATGGAGCCCTTTGTGAGTATCGCCCGATTTTCTCCCCTCTCTTGACTAGCCTTGTTTTCCCTTCTGAGCTAGCCGCTTTGGCGGTGTTAGCCGTCCGTCTTACCAAATTAGCGCTTGGGGACGCCTACACATCTGTTTTTTTATTTTCATTTGTGGCTTTGACGGGGGATGGGCAAGGGACAAACAATCCCTTGGGACTTTGCATTTGCTGACGGCTGACCGCTTCTCGTCTCTCGGATAGGTGACGTATCTCAACAGCGTAGTGATGCCCGATCAGTGACATGATTGGGGAAAGCCACCCGCGTCTATTGGCACTTGACGGGAAGAGGGGGGGAGATCAATCTGCTCACTGCCTTCGAGATCTGTGTGGTATGAGCAATGTTTGTGTTTTCTTACCTATCGAATTCCGACTTTTATTTTATTCCAATTTTTCCCTCGTTTCGGGCCATTTTGTCTCTCAATTGGATCTTTCGACTTGAAACCGCGGAAGCAAAAAAAAAAAAAAAAAACCACCCCACTGCGACGCCTCCTGCACACGGCTTCTTTCGTCAATCTCCATCACGTTGACTTTGCTACTGCACCCTCAACTGCATTGGCGTGTTACCGAACAACAGGACTGACATTTAGTCTGCATTCACATCACCTCTAGCTGCTGCACTGCTGTACACTGCCTCGCTTCACATGAGCAAGGGTCCCCCTCCCAAACACAGTCTTCATTTCCCCTCAATATGACACGCATATCCGATTCTAGACACTTCCACACAATCCTTTCACCCGTGCCCAGTGCCCAATGCCCGCAGACCCGTGCATCATACGAGCTCCCTTGGATCATTTTTATCTCATTCATGTTTCGTACATGCATGACAGATGGCCAGCGTACGAGTAGAAAAAAAGTCCAAACCATTCAAGGTCCTGATGCGCATATCGCCACCGCAAGCGCCCGCGTTCGGCCCGTTGTCGGGCATGCCCGCTAGACTAACCTTGGGTCTGCAGCCAATGTGGATGGAGCCCCAGAGTAAGACTCCGCCGTCCCAGATTTTGGTCTGCTGAATTAACCACCTTCCCGGTCTGGAATGGACTCCATTTATTTGACTGGGTACTGAGTACGAGACTTGTTTTGCTCTGTGGTATACGAGTTGTAAATTGCAGACTTTTTCGGGGGCTGGATGCGCCTTTGCGCCTTTTGTGCCTTTACTGGAAGGTCAATTTTTATTCGGTTTCAGATATTAGGGCTGGTTCTGAGGTTTAGGGCAGTTTCCTTTTGAGGTTGGATTTAACTTAGAACATGGGAATTTATCTACTTAAGTATGGGCACATCCGCAATTGCCTGGAATGCATCGAGAGCTTTCGCCTGTTTATAACTTTAGAAGATACTCAAGTACTTGTATAGATAGCCCTGGAGGACATTTCGTCAGGATCGCCGTTCCAAGGTTCGTACCCGTAGTCGAGCACGGTGTTGGGAACTGGGTCCCGATTACCCTCCTCATCGAATTCTTCAGGAAGATTCGGAGGGTCGTCGGCCCCGGGGGTTTCCAAGGTCCCACGTTATCCATAATTCTGAAGGGAGTTGCCCAGTCAATTTATCTGATCCGATGCAGATCATTGGACGGAGTGCTTGGGCAAACGTTGAGAAATATAACAGAATACCAGATACTCGTACCATTCGTTGGTTACCTAGGTACCTAGATCTATGCTACTACTCGTAAATACCTCGGCCGTAATGCTAGTCCCATTGAGGGAATGGTATACTGGATCTGACGTTTGTAAAGTTAAGATCGGGTACTCGAAATTGAGGCTTCTTATACGGATCCCATAGAACTTTATTCTCAGGGTGAGAAAGCTAATACTAAGTATGGAGCGTTCTCTCATGTACTCAAGTAGCGTATTCAGGCTCATAATCATCGAGCGCTAGCTGAAGAAAAGCTTTTTCGTTTTTTTCTTCCAGGATATATATTCCGAAGACCTCGGGATGACATGGTGGAGAATCTCATTAAAAATGTTATTCAAGATGCATTTCATCGTATTTTACCTGGTTAATTTTGACCGACACAGCATGATCGTATTATAACATTGAAATCGTTTTTAAGCTGATCCTGACTCCCACCATTACTCAAGTACTTAAGTAAGTACTAACTATACAGTTATAGCCTCTGAATCCAACATTCGAATATGCCCAGGTACATTTCTTGGCCAAAAAGGGTTTCACGCATTATGCACGACATTCAGGGCAGGACCCGTCACATGTCAAGATTTGTCTATTTGGCTTGTCTGACAGGCATCGGCCTAGGAGGTACATATGGAGTACCCCCGGGGATATGTAGGTACGGAGCAGACCTCAACGGGGTATAGATTAGCTTACATAACGCAGCGGCGCTGGGCAAACCTGGGGATCATGGGAGACAGAGCGTGCGGGGATTAACTCAGAAACCCTATGAAGGTTCGGTTGACTCCGTAAGCTCGCCATTGCCCAGCCGCAATCAAGTTAGGTTGGTGATACCGATACCCTAGACGCATCATGCAGATCACAACCAAGTGTGAAATGTAAGCGAATGGTATCCAGGCGGTTCAACATGTGGAAAGTCAATACCCAGCCCGAAAAAGCAATAGGTGAGGGAGGGGAAAAAGCAAAACAGATACCCGTTAAGCCTCAGATTAACCTAAAACGAGAAAGTCACTAGCTCCAAGTATGCCGAGCAATCATTCAACAAACAGGATGTCCGAAAAAATAGTCAAATTTAATCAATCATATTAATTAACAGCAAGATGAGATCGGCTCGCTTTGTCTCCCGAATGGCGCTCGAATAAAGTTGGGAAGCCCAGTATGCATGGTAATCACAACCTAGTGTAACCCGTGTGACGAGGGCATGGACAAGAAAAAAAGAAAAAAACACCAATCAAACAATGTTAGGGTGCGCAAATTCTATCCAACGCGAGCGAAGGAATAAAATAATACAAGAATTCAGTAACTTAGTAACTAAAGGAGTATCGTCATAGCTCGGCTAAAAGTGACTAGTCGATCTTATTTCGCATATACTTTTGACCATCAGGTAGTCATCAGGCATCTCTCATCACACGACCTGCATCAAGTTCGTGTACACCGACTAACGATGAAGAAGCACTGCCTCGTTCCGGCTTGGTGCAGAATATCCTTGCCACGTCAGATTTTCCTAGCACAGACCCCAGTCTTGTAATTTATTTTTCTACAAACCGTCTAGGTAGCTACTTCCGCATTGGTCCATTTGGTGTTCCCGTGACTCTAAGGCCATGCGGGCTGCGTCTATTAGTGCCCGACGTGTCTCCATCCCTGTTGATAGACGCGCTCCCGTGTGGGTAAAGGAGGGGTTCGGGCTAATAATATTGAAACAAAGGAAATCCAGTTTAAGAAAATTCCTTCCCTGCAGAATGTGTATGTATGTTATTGTTTTTTTTTAGAGGGGAAAATAAAAAAATGAAAAATAGAAAATTACCATAGGCACACAATCATACATTACTCAAAACCTGATGGAACGGTCTGCAAAAAGGCTCGGAGATGGGTCCCCGAGCGTTGGGTCTTCATATTTTTGACAAGAGTAACGCTCAGTCCCTCGAGGAGGGCCCTAGTTTGGGAGGGCATTAGCGCGACCCCAGGACAAACACCATCGAGTGGCTAGGAGCTCTGGAACGGGTGGGTCATGTCGAAGGTCCGGAGAGTTGTACGCTAAGAGTGGAAGGACAAAGCTGAAGCAGGCCACGCCAGAGAGTGGGGAACGGAAAGACGCGGACGCCAATGCACTCGATTGGGTTCGAAAAACGTGGCCTGAAGTGTACTCCATCGTTACTCCGTATTACACAGCAAGTCGGTTAGTCAGTGATCATACGAAAACGGAAATAAAAAGAATTTTGGGTGTGGTTCAACAATTTATATCTGAATGGGTCTATAGTAGATTCTTTTTCGTAGATAAACTACTCGTACCCTTCTATCCTACAATTAAACGACCAAGTTCTTGAATACAGTATCGAAAGACCGTATTTCTGCCAATGGCACACATGCATAGATCGTGGCGGGAAGGCCGGAGCGGCCCGTGGGACGAGTACCCCGAAACCTGATTGATTAATCCTGTGCAATAGTACATGTATTATTACTGAGCAATGATTTTGGTATTTTATCTTTTTATTATTTAATCCCACCTTGCGCCCTACTCGGCTACAAACCGCATCCGGGATTGGCGGTGACGGGGCGTACGCTAAATGCCCCCCCCCCCGTACAACGTGGTTGTGGCTCTTGAACAAGGAACCCGCCCCCTGTCAGCGCAGCGCTAATGCAGGTTACCTAGGCTCATGATGGCTTTCCGGATCCAGTGCTACAGCCCTGGGAACTTAGAGCCCCCACCCCTCGCGTTTCTGCTCTCCCCCTGTACAATTATCTTGGAAGAAAGGGTGTTTGGAACAGCAGGCTTTGTAACCAGACTTTGATCTCTCTCGTACCCAAGCGAGATACATTTATGGGTTTCTCGTTTCGTATTGAAGAGTGGCGAGTGGCTCAGCCGAACCCCACTCCTTCAGCTGAAGTCTGATCGCCACACTTTCACCGCTTGAATTTTTCTTTGATAGTACATGCAGTAGTTCCATGTACTTTGATAGACTAGGTAATTCAGAACAACAACAGACGGCCTGAGGGCGGAGATGGATATGGATTCGAAGGATTGTGAGTAACATTCTCGGCAAAGAGGAAAAAATAATAATAATCAAGTAAAATACAGACTAGAATATTATAGAATGGTATAGATAATTTTTTTAAAAAAAGAAATAGATTAAACGTGAAAATACACAGCCCGATATGCAGAGGGAGCATGTCGCCCCGACCCGAGCCCATCGCCATGGAAAATAATCCTGGTTCCGCGGGGCCGGTTGCGGTTGTGCGACTACGGTCCGAGGCGGACGTTCGTCCATGGACGGTTACGCAGCAAGGGTCACTCGGAGGAATTGACGTGCATGGCCAGGTTAATCCATGCAATTGGAGAGGTCACCTGCCACATTGTTGATGATGTCAAAAAGGGCAAAGGTCGAATCATCGATCCCACTGCGATCTCCCGTTCAAGGCCCCTAGACAGAAGTACGAAAGCCCCGGAGGTGATGGAAGAGGCAAAGGTAAAAAGGACGAATCAAGGACGAACCGGACTAAACAGGACCAGACCAAGACACAGAATCCTTTACAGACAAGAATACCTCGTAAATCAATCAAAAACGGAATTTCTCTTTTAACAAAAAAGGAAAAGAAAAGGGTGAAAAGGACGAAACAAGGTCGCGGTATCCAGAGTTAGAGCCGAAGTCTGGTACCCTAAATTAGCATCCATGGTTCTGTGTTTATGACGAGTCTGGTAACAAGCTCAAGCGTATGGTAGTTACCGAATAAGTCGATACCGGTATCTGTAATGTGTAATCCCCCCTCCATGTCTATGGGTCACTGGCGCCGCTTTAGCCCGCGCTGCCCGGGATCCACCCCGTTCTCTAAAAATTCCCCTTCTTTTCCAATCACAAACTTACGAGCTTCTTTTCTTCTTCTTCTCTTTCTTATCGTGGGGTCCTTACTGCTCACGTCATTAAGCCTCTCTACACTATTTCCCTTTTTTTCTTTTTTTTTTTTTTACCAACCCTTTTATTTCCCTTTTGGAGGGCTTTCCTATTCGGCTCTTCTTCTCTCTCTCTCTCTCTCTTTTTTTGGTCTTTTTTTCTTTTTCCTTTCAAACATTTCTTCCTTAGTTCCCTTTAGTTTCTTTTCGATTGCCTTATTCTGTTCCCCTGCGTGAACTGCGCTATGCTCGCTGGGTTGTCGAATCCCCCCTTTCAATAACTCGACGTCACATCCCTGTATTTTTGACTCATCTCGTCTTACTCAACAATGTCGGGTCCCAACGATCATGATCGTGATCCAAGCCGCCAGGATCACGGCCGGCCTTGGAACGCCCCGGAGGAGCAGGCTGCTTATCCTGTATGTGATCCTTCAGCTGGGCGGTGATTCCCTTTCTCACCTTTTTAGTATCCGCCATCTTCCTATCCTCCTCCCCCGGATCAGGATCGCGCCTACCAATATCCACCTCCATCACAGTACGCGCCTTCGCAGTATCCTCCTCAGTATCCTCCATCGCAATATCCCCCGGCCCAGTATCCGCCTCAAGGGTACCCGCCTCAGAATATGAACGCTATCCACGGAGCTCAAGATCCTTACCGGCTTCCACCCCCGCCGGGTCCCTATCGCGCGGATGCCTATGGACATCCTCCCGCAGCGCAAGGTCCTTACCAAGCAGCAGCTCCACGACAGAGAACGGCCATAGCATGCCGGTACTGTCGCCGCCGGAAGGTACGAGACAGAGCTTACAGGGAAAACAGAGCGACGCGCTAACCCGCTTTTCAGATCCGATGCTCGGGATTTGATACCTCCGCCGATGGACGGTGCAGCAACTGTGTTCGTTTTAACCAAGATTGCATGTTTACTCCAGTTTCTTCGCAAACTCAGGCGTTCGTGCCCGCACACACCGCCTACCCCCATCTACGTCCCGGACAGAATGGACCACCTGGTCGTGGTGCACCACCAGTCCTCTACGGGGCTCATGGCCAGCCACTACCCCCTCAGCAACAGCCTCAGGGCCCTGAAACCACACTGCCGCCACCTCAAGGGATGTACTATCAGAACGGACGACCTATGGACGGTGCCCCCCTTGCATCAGGCATGCCTGATCCGGTAAGACGACCCATTCCCAGGCGCAATCAGTCCAATCTAATGTTTTGATCCAGAGACACCGCCGCGGCTCCAACTCGGGCTTTGAGTACCCCGATCCCACCAATCTCGCTCCCGTGACCCCCGCTGGCTCCGCTCCCGGATACCAGACGCACACCACGCCAAGCCCCTACGCCTACCCTCCCCCACCTGCGCACGACCGACGCACCTCGCCGCCCTCGGCCTACAATTATGATGCACGCCATTCCTCCTCACCTCACGGATCGCCCTACCCGCCCATGCAACCCCACCAGGCACCAATGACTCCCCACCAGGGTAGCGTGCCACCCGCTCAAGGGGCTCAACCGGGTGGACCCATTGCGCAAAGCAGTACTCCCCAGCCAGGGGGCGTGACACCGCCTCCCACTTCTACACCTGGTGGTTCTCAACGAGGCGGGTTGAATGTTCGTGATATGCTGAACCCTGGCGATTCCCAGGGTCGATCTAGCACCGATAGCGATATGCTAAACGCGCTTAACCGTCGTGGCCCGCAATAATCACGCCAATCTTGGGGGGAAACAAAAAAAAAGAGCGCGAAGAATGCTTTGCGAAGTGATCTGGAATGGGCCGTGTGCTGGCCACACGGTCTGAGAGCCATGTGTGGGAATCTGAGAAAATCTGAGGTCTCGGACCGTTGTGGAGATCCGATTTCTTCCCTGGAATCGGTGGGACCTAAGCTTTCTCTCCTGGCAAGGGGGCCAACTCACATTCCATCGCAATTACGAGACAGAAGAACCCACGAGCTTCACGAGCAACTTTACCGAAATTAACCCTCTGCGGGTTTTTACTTTGACCGGCATACGAATTTCTATACTTTTTTTTTTCCTTTACACATCTTTCTTTTCCCCAATCTCGAGTCCTCAAAACTCCGGCTTTAGGGCTTTGAGAGGATGTGATCTCAATCTGCCATATTCAGTCCGTGCTTCTGAGCTCGCAGCATTTATGAGATCTTATTTCTGCCCTGTACCATGTACTTGGCAAATCTCTAGGTCATTTCTTTCGCGTTGAACTTTCTCGGGTGGCTATCTGAAATCTTTGCAAGTCTTTTTTTTTTCGTGTTTACCATTCATCGCGTTCATGCACTGTCGGCTTTCGTCCTGCGTTTTTCACGTCCATTTTTCACTTACACCGGGAAGGCATTCGTCTATTTACTATATCCTTTTTTAGGATAATTGTTTCGCCTACTAAAAACCGGGGCTGTGTCATTTGTTTACTGCTTTTTTCTTGCCCTGTTCGATTGTCTGCTTATACTTATATCCGGGAGGCTGTCTGATCACTCTTTCTGCTATTCAATCACCGCATTATTGCACGTTATACGTTTTCATGTCTTTGGTCTCTGAGCGCCTTTTCTCAATGCAGTTCGAGTCCAAGTCCTAGTTTCTCTTTTTCTTTTTCTAATATCTGATATCTGCATTCCTCCTTGCGCTCCTGCTCTCAGGGTATTTAGTTAGACTTTAGGGTGAGCTCTCTGCGAGGGGGCTTGGCATAATTGAAGAAGTGCATTTTGCAGTTGCATGACGCACCTGCGTCGGTTCAGATAAGCGGTATAACTTGTATCGGTAATATTACTGTATCATGGGTATAGACTGGAGATCATAGGGTTGGCTATTTTCATGGGAATTGGGTTCATACTACTAGTAGTGTACTCAGTTCCATATTACTGATCTTCTCTTAAAGTCAAAGCAGACTACAATAGGTTGGACATTGAATAAATCAGATTGCACTACCTACATGGGAGAACATTTCACTTTCTCTCATTGCACCAAGATTAAGCATTAAGCCATGTTCTGAAAAAAAGCGAGAGATCAGGCAAGGATTGAAAATGTGCGAGAATGGAAAGATGAGTGGCAAACTCAAGTACAACAAGCAAAGAACTAGATGTCAACAAGTGATCAAGTGGGGTCACAGATGAAAGGAAAATTCGAACGAAGGTAATATGCAAGACCAAGGTCAACAAGGGTTTGCACTTGCGGTGAAAGCGAATGTGGGGTTGAATATCTGATATGAGAGGCAAAGGTGCTTTTGCAGGCTGAAACGCAATATGCTGGTGATAATCAAGCGTGAGAGGGAGCGAGGGACAATAGTTGGGGCGGATAGGGTGAGGAGTCATGGGTATTTGGGAGGTGGGATTGTGCTTATTTGCGCTTGGGAACCGAGTCAAGGACCCGAGACATCTTCTTGGCCCTTGTGGGGTCCTCGACCACAATTCCGCGGCGTTGGAGGGTATTGTGTACTGTTTCGACAACCTTGTTGAAAGACGAGGCGGCACCACGCTCTTGCTTGAAGCGGACTAAGCTGAGGTTTGCTTGGCGGCCATGCTCGAGGACAGTGTAGAATTCAGCGGTGAACTCGACCTCCCGTAGTTGAAGGACTATTTGCTGGTCAGTATTTTTTCACTCAGCATGCATGGGTATACTCACAGTTGGCTTCGCCGACGCGTCCATGGACGATGCTGTTAGTCTTGTCCATGTAAACATCTTCCATGCCAAAGTCTCGCCACTCGCGAAGAAGCTTGAATAGCTCCTTGCGGCCCTTGGCTTTAGAGATGTTCAGGGGAATCACCTGAGTAGCAGGCTTAATTTGGAAAACACGGGCGAACCAGTTCTGGTTGGCTATCGAACGACGCTTGTTGCGGAATGGATTGCGAGGGTCGTCGGCTTCAATTGAACTGTCGGTGTCTGCCACACCCTTGCACATGAGCGAATGACGGTTGTCTTTCGTTGGTGTTGCCTGAAGCTCAGGCTCTGGTTCTGCAAGTGAATTAGTACAGATGTACACAAACTGGGAGTATATGACATACCAGCAGCAGGTTGCTGTGCGTTCTTGCTCGGCTTCTTCATGAGTTTCTTCAAGAAACTGCCACCAAACCGGTCCATTGAAGTCTTTCGTGTTGGAACCCGCTCATTCTTCGCAGGTGGAGGGGGAGAGTTGGAGACTAGGGTGATGGGTTTGTTCACGACGGTATCCCCGGCGGGAACAGGGGCAGGGACAGGGGCGGAAATGGTAGGGGATTTGGCTTTGATGGGGGGAGTTGGAGGTGTTTCTGAACCATTCGAGCGATGCTTGAACCAAGACCACTTCTTGCCCTGCGATCCTGTAGAAGAGTATTTCTTTGGAGACGCCGGTCTTTCGTCAATTGGTGCTAGACCATTGGAGGCAGACCGTCCCACTCCATAGGAGACATCTCGGTCAGTGGGCTCGGAATCAACAGGTGTACAGTCTTGAAGATTGGACAAGGGCTTGCCACTTTTCTTCTTGCGAATGGTGAGGGGCTTGACTTCTTCCATAGAGCGGAAGGAACTATGAGGCACCATTCGAATTGTGGCCCTTGGATCCGCGCCCTGAGAAACAGCGAGCGAGGGCCGCGGCTGGGTTTGAGGCGGGACAATGGTGGAACGCGATGAGAGGGATGGGCTGACAGTCTCTTCATCGATGACGGGCAAAAGCTCTTCAGCTGGCGTGGTGATGAAAGGATCGTTGTAAGCGGTCACATTGACATCGCTATGTGTGCCATTCACAGCTTTGTGCTCGTCGATCAACCGATCGAGATGACTGATAACCCCAGACAAGTAGTGGGGAATGTTATCGGTCCGTCCACGGCTATGCTCAACAAGCTTCCGTCGTGTCTCGGTAAGCTCTCGAATATCGTAGGACCGCGAGGCCTCCTTGAGAGGTTTCGGCGCGGGAGGGATGGCAGTAGGTTGAACTTGCTGTGGACTTGCCATGGAGAGTGGTGTTCCTGGTGTTTCATACCCAGATCCAACGCTTGCAGTGCGAATAGTCGACACAGAGCTGCCATTGAACGCTTCTTCGCAGATCTGGCTGAGTTCATGGGAGACCTGACGGGTGTCCTCCTTCCAAGTATAGTCCGAGTCACGAACCTTCCGCATATGCTGCAAGCTCCGTACCCTTGGGTTGTTTGCGCGGACAACCATCGGTTGTGCTGGCAAGGGCGGGCTGCTCGGGATGTCCTGGGGATTGCTGCATTCTGCGAGGATTTGCAAACTGCATGTGCTAGGCGATCGCTTGATCTCTGTCTGCTGGTTCGGGGTGGCGGTCTTTCTCCGCTTTGGTTTCGCTGTGGTAGATCCCTGGGATCTGTTCCGGGCGTGGTGGAAGGAAACATTCCGACGATAGCTCATACTATGTGTGGACAATCCAGGAGCTCGTGAGCTGGAGTGAGGCATGCGAGAAGAGTGGAATGACTTCATAGAACTGGGCTTGTGTTTTCTCTTCTGTAGCACAGTAAATTGCGAGTCAGTAGAATCTTCTTCTTCCTCCTCCTCCGGTTCTTCTTCCTCGACAATGGAGGGTGGAGGCTGAACCCTTGGTGAGGACATGAGGTCAATATTATTAGGGCCTTCCCTGTGAATCGTGATCTGAGCGTAATGCGTCTGCGCGAGTTTATCATGCTTTGGCGACCTGTAAGGATCATAGCTCTCCACGGTTCCGCAAGACATTGGTTCCTTGATTGAACTTGAACGATGGCACAAATCTTTACTTGAGGAATACTGAGCACGCCTCTTGGAGCTGCCCTGGCCAGACTGGCTACGTCCACGACGAACTCTACCGGGGCGAGAGATATGGTGGTAATCGCTGGCCGAGTACTCAAGGGGCTGTCCTTGATAGTTCTCGAGCTGCTCGTCGCGGAATCGTGCCAGCGCATTGTAGAACATTCTCTCGTGGGTAGGTCTTTTTCTCCGTTAGTCTCACCACCAAAGCAATCCCCAATGTTGTTTGAACTTACTCGATGCACAATAGCCTTTGGACCAAATCATTTGGTTTTACATCATGCCACAACGTTTGGAGGTTGCGAAGGATGTCAATGTCAATGTCTTGGTAGCAAGACAAACCCGGACCACAGTCCTGAACAGATAACGGGGGTGGAGGACCAACGTAGTGATCAATCATTGCGTTGTGAAGCTTCTCGTATTTGGTGAACAGCGGATGCATCCAGATATTCTGCATGGAGATTCGATCCTCTGGTCTTTTCTGCAAAATGCGCTGGATAAGGTCAGCCGACTCGTCACTCAGGTTTGCCGGTATCATGTAGTCGCCCTTCTTCACAAGTCGGAGCGTTTCCGCAAGATTCCCGCCATCAAATGGCAGATATCCAGTCAGCAATGCATAAAGGATGATACCGCAGCTCCACATATCAGCCCGGTCACCGCGGTACTTCTTTCCATAAATGATCTCTGGAGCTGCATAATGCGGACTCCCACAAGAGGTGTTCAGCCAATGGCCAGCGGGCTGCAGAGCCGCCATACCAAAATCAGCCAGCTTTACGTTATGATTGGAGTCGAGCAAAATGTTCTCCGGCTTCAGGTCGCGATGGCAAATGTTGAAGCGATGGCAATATCCAAGTGCTGCGATGATCTGTCGGAACAGCCTCACAGCCTCTTCTTCTTGCAGAGGACCATGGTTTGAGACGTAATCGAATAATTCTCCTCCCTCGACGTATTCAAGAACCAAATATCTGGCCAAATGTTAGCATGTTTGGATATTCAAGACAAGAGGACACCCACAGCTCTCCGCGGTTTTCCCAGACGTCATAGAGACTGATGACATTTGGATGCTCGATCAGCTTCATGATGACCACTTCACGCTCAATCCCACATGGCATCTGCCTGGTGGCTGTTTTGCTCGCAAAGTTTCCTGCATTTCGGTCCATTGCCGCAATACTCTCGCTCTGTACCATCGCAGCCGACTTCTTGGAAACGATCTTGATGGCGGCAGTGTTCCCCGTGACAGCATGCTTGGCCAGTCTGACCCTACCCGTAGCACCCTTACCCAATGTGCGTCCCAGTTGCCAAGGACCGACATGTGTTTTTCTCTTCCCCTTGTTAGACATAAGTGACGCCGCCGACATGATGGAGTTTCGCGCCGAATCGGATTGGAAATCAGTAGCCACGGAGAGCCTATCGTTCTCTTGGGTTTTCTTGGGAGTTGGTGTCATCAGGTAGGACATTCTGTCGGGTGTTTTGATTTCGGACTCTTCGATCAGCAGGTGGGGTGTCTCCGCATTGGGTGACTTGGAGTGATTCACACGGCTGGAGGCATCCGTCAGTGGATTACGCCTCCGTTGAGAGGAGTTGCCATCCACTATCATCGGATCCATTTTGGCCGGTGACACGCCGTGAGGATGTCACTGGATGTTAATTCTCAGGACTTGCAGAAGGATTGGTAATTCTGGAAGGTGTTAGCTTCTAGGTCAACAAGTTCGTTCTTCTCCACGCACAGGATAGTGAAAGCGATTGACCGAAACAGTTCCAAGGTGTAAAGATCGGCTTCCAGAGGAGTCTGGATTAACGAGAGACTCAACACACCCCAAGATGCAAACCACAGAAACCAAGAGGGAAAAAGAGAAAAGAAAAGCGAAGTTGTGGCTCACATGCCGAAGCTGGACTGGAATGGTCGTTCCTTCCCTCCTAGGAATGCCTGCCACTTCCGACTTTCTTTTTTTTCTTTTTGTTTTTCTTCTTTCTTCCTCTCTACTTCTCTCTCTCTCTAATTCTCTATTTCTCTACATCTTTCTGTATGTATTTTGCATCTGTCAAATAATACTGGTTTTCCACTCATACTGTCATCTTGACGTTCCAAAAATTGTAAGTTGTTTACGCATGTGGGGCTGCCAACTGGTGATACTAACTATAGTTCAATTTGAATTCCTGTTTCAAACTAATCTTCCATGTCTTCGACGGTGAATGCTTCAATCTTTTTATATGGGGTTGTCCCGCTGTCGACAATCAGGATCGCCGTCGAAAGGAGTAGGTATTCCCCAAAGGAAGGGGGTCAACATCCAACCTTACCATCAGCACAGGGGTCTATTTGTGCAAGTACTTAACATTCCAGTCCCCTGGGTAATCAGACTCTTTTCTACTTGGATACTCTGTACTCGTACTAATGTAAATTAAAGATCCAGATAAACCTGCAGCTGCAGGGTCGGGATCTTATATCCTGCACATGCTCCATTGCATAACAACCTTAGTCTCCGCACATCCCGAAGTATTCTTCTGTGCGTGAAGTGCTGAATACAGGGCTTGCAATCCTTTCAAGTAATTGTAGCGCCATGGAACAAAGTCGCCGCCCACTTGGTAGAATCAGATTGGCGATGAGCCCCAGCGATCGAGCCCTAACTCCATGCGCAAATCACGTTTACACCGTGACACCACCAGGTTCGATCCTCTTGTCACACTGCTGTTCGATAATTCCTAGAAGATATCAAAAAAACTACAAGTATCTCTACCTGGGAATGTTTTACATACATATATAGAGCACCCCGGATTGCGCAGGGGTGAGCAACTGTCAGAATCTACCTCCACGCTAACATTGACCAAAAACAATCAAGAATCAGTACGTCATCTCTGTAGATGACACAATTCGCAATTAACATAACGCAGACTCTTTTCAGGAAATCCCGGTGGTATTCTCGCGTGTCCCTGTAGCACCGCACAGACAAACAATACTGGATCCCAGGAATGTAAGGGATGATCTCCGTTGCCCTGTCTTCAGCCACATGGTTTTCGCTCAAAAAGGAGTACCCCGTACGTACCCTTTACCTTTGAGCATCCTCCACAGCGTAGATCTTCAAGTGCAGTGTTTGACCCCGGATCTGCAATGATACGGTTTTCTGTAGCTGCGGGCCTGAGACTGGGTCAATATTCAATTCAATTGCTAGAGTGATGTACAGTAGAGATTGCTTATGGTCAAATTGATTATGTCCAGATGCAAGGTTCGCGTTGTTCTTTTTTTTTCTTTCTGCTTTCGACCTCGGGGGATGTAGGGTCACCTCGTCTTGTAGAAGTGAATCTCGTACTTAGTGAGGACTCAATAAAACCTCATAACACCGAGTACCCCATGCATAGTTCTGGATTTTAGTCTGGCATGCTAGTGGAAATGAGGATCAAGGTGTACCTGTAGACATAGACGGTTTACAAAACCAATTTGCACTTAGGTAGCTGAGATTTTGTCGTGTGGCTTGACGTATATATCGATATTGATGGAGCGACAGCAATCACTTGAACCAGCTCTAGAGGCGAATCGGGTACCTGCCCCGGTGATAACATATAATGAATTTTGATACAATATGCGTTCCCTAATTAGTTGACTGTTTAATTATCTCCAGGACTCTCGAGTTTTTCCAATGTTGTGCTCAAGTGTGTGGCTATATATTCCTTGATGCCCAGAGGGTCCTCACGGTTAACTAGAGCCCCAAACCTTGAAAATCTTAAGCAACGCCCACCCTGAAATACAACACCTGGAGCTTTTACAGAGCCTCCAGGAGCTAGAAAATACAAGTGGTATGAACATTCTAAAGTTCCAGGTTGAATACACTACTGACAACAATATCAACATCCATGGTTGTCCCCCACCTGAGCACGGCTCCGCTACTTAGACAGGGATTTTTTTTGTCAGCCCTGGAGACAAACAGAACGAAAGAACCATCTGAATCATTCTAACGTTTCATATTAAACTGAAGCCAGAAAAAAATTATAGACTATAATCGGTTGCTGCCCTTGTCGTGGTTGGGGCGAATTAATACCGGGCGCGCCTAGATTGGTTAACCCGGAACGCGTCGATGCATCGCGACGTGATGTATAAATGCAGTTTGCAGCCATCACACTTTCGGCCCTGGATCCGCAGCGACCGAATCAATAGTTACGTCTTGTCAATCACAATTCCAGCCTTGAATGGTTGGTTCTAATATCTATAGATACTGTGAGTGTTCCAGGTTTCCAGAGGAATGCAGATTCGTGAACTGTCTTGGTCATGAGATACAGGTAAAACAAAGAACATTTTTTCCCTCATAGTTTAGCACTTGCAGGTGGGAGAATCTGCGACAGATTTTGGGAGTTGACAGCTTGCTGATCACTTGTTGCGCCCAGGAGATCCAACACCAGCGATCCGACCAAAGAAAACAATTTTGAACCCTGCCTTGGATCCCCCGACAATAAAATCACCGACGAAGACTCTTGAGGCACAAAGTCGACTAGGGATTCAGTGTGTTTGCTGGTAAACCACGAAAGGGGCGTAGCCAAGGAGTCATGCAGACGGAACTGATCCAGTGCAGGGATCTCAGCGCCACCGGTTTCAATAATCACCAAAGACGAAGGGTAAAATTGAGCATCCCTAGTGCGAACACCGGCATTTTTCTTGCCGGTCAGTGTGCTCACGTACACGATTTCCTCGACAGGCTGGTCGAAAATAAATCGCACACCGGCATCCTGGGCTGCGCGTTGGACCTGGCGTTCCCTGTATCAGCAATTGACCTAGATTGAGATCATGTCTAAGGGGACACTACAGTTATATCTCTGGGGGAGTCATCCTTTGCAAAGACTGAGATATTGGTGTAGCCTCGTTGGGCTAGATGGAGGGCTGTTGACAGGCCTTGCGCACTGCCGACGATGATGATCGGATCCGAAGCACAAACAGCCATCAGGAAAGAAAATAATTAGGCTGCGGATTTGTGGGATGGAAAGCTGATATAGTCATCTCCCCGCATTTCTGCATTGATTTTCCGAAAACCGTCATTAATTGCAGAATTGGAGAAGATAACAACCCTGTAGAGGTCTGAGTGCTGTAGCTTGTGGCTTCTTTTGGCCTAAGCCAAGCTCGTGCGGAGGTCGTGAGGGGAAGATCTCGGTCGATGTCCCGGTCATGTGCTTCATTTCGGGCTGCGATGTATATAAATCTATATGCCCTCATAGCACGCGGATTGAGTATGAAAACACACACAATTGATTCAAATTCAGCTCAAAGTGTCACATAAAAGGCTTTCCATGGTTGTCTCTAAAAAGTGAAGTATTGTCTTAAAAGGGTATATACTTCCCACTTTACTTCTCTACTATACTACGTTTTGTGCAGTGAAAATGACAATGCCTTACTCAGCTTAAATAGACAATTCTCAAATACCGGAAAAGCTCACCGGCCAATCTCTCTGCTACTCCGTACTCTGTGCTCTGTCTTTCGTCGTCTGTACATCTGCTCAGCCATGAGCGGGGCAGTTCTCCACAGTCGGGAGCGCTTCCGATATCCAAAATCCATATGAACGCGACATTTCCTCTCGAAACACTTTCTCACAAACACAATTCAAAATGACAGATATTCGAAACGGAACCCTTTGCATTCTCGGGTGTGGTGAGTGAAAGCTTCCACACGCATCTGGGCAAAAGACACCAATTAACAACCCACAGGAAACCTGGGAATAGCCATTTTAAATGGCCTAATCAATGCACCCGAAAAACCAGACCTCCCCTTCACTCAATACATCGCCTGCGTGCGCAGTGAAAATTCCGAGAAACGACTCCTGGAGCGATTCTCCAATTCACTGGATAAGATCCACGTCCGTCGCGGTGATAACGTCCAATCAGTCCAAGATGCCGATGCGGTAATTCTAGGCGCAGACCCCGCGGATATCGAAAAGGTCTTGACGCAGCCTGGTCTCCGGGAGGCATTGTCAGACAAGTTGATTATTAGCATTGCGGCTGGGTGGACGAGACAGAAGCTTGAAACGACGATTTACGGGAGTGAGACCACGGCCGAGAATACGGCTGGCAGGGCCTGGGTTGTGCGTACGCTGCCTAATATTGCGGCGCAGGTGTCTCAGTCTTTGACTGCTATTGAGGTTTCGGAGCCGGCGTTGCCGGAGCGATATCTTCAGATTACGACTTCGATTTTCGAGTTGATTGGGAAGGCGGTTCATATTGATCCTAAGTTGATGAATGCTACTACTGCTGTTGGGGGGTCGACGCCTGCTTTCTTTGCTGTGATTTGTGATGCGCTTATTGATGCTGCTGTTGCGGTTGGTGTGCCGAGGGATTTGGCGCATACGATGATTTTCCAGTCTATGCAGGGAACTGCGACTATGTTGCAGGGTGGTATGCATCCTGCTGTTTTGAGGGATCAGGGGACATCGCCTGAGGGATGTACGATTGGTGGGTTGATGGTGATGGAGGAGGCTGGGGTTCGTGGTCATATTGGACGGGCGCTTCGGGAGGCTGTCACTTTGGCTCGTTTGATGGAGACGACGGACCATGTCAATGATACAAGACACTAGGTGGTTTGGAAGCAGGCTCGCCCTGTGTTCTAACCTGGGATCTGAATATGATACATCTGAATTAATGATTATACGTTGAAAGTGGTGATATCCTGATTACCGTCGCCCACAAAAGTCCAGACCATAGACCTAGTCCCCGCGAATCCCCTTGAAGATGTCAAGGGTATGCTTCCAGATTGAAGCTCTCGTCCCATCTGCACGATAGCCTTCCAACACCTTCTGATTACTGACTGTGGCTGAATCCGAGCCAACAAGGTATGAGCCGGAGCCCTGGATACCATCCGAGCCAATCGCAGCAGCATCGCCCTTGGAATTCAGCGGGGAAAACATAGGATTAGTACCTGCATAAAGATGTCTCTCCCCACTCTCTTCCAAAGGAACATTCATCGGCGTGAGCAACAAAAACACCGCGTTCAGAGCAAGCTTCATCAGCGACCCACTCTCCCGTGCCAAGCTCGTTTTCACAAGACCGGGATACGCGTGGACAAAGGAGGTAGCCGGATACGAGGCAGCCAGCTCTTCCATCGACAGAGATGTCATAGTAATTGCATGATTAGCACAATTGCGCAGAGAGTAATTCTCTTTCAGGGAGAGGTCGTTCAAGATCAGGGGTGCATTCCCCCGAGCATCAAGAATAGACAGGACTCTGGACAAGCCGGACTGACCGGAAGCTGCATCCTGGGCATTGGAAGCGTTTGTCAACTGTGGGAGCAAGTTGTACAAGAATCGCATGCGGGAATAGTAGTGCAGACTGAGTTTTTTGTCGAGCCCTTCGTCCGTTTCTATTTGCTGTTAGCGGGATGGCGAGGATCGAGAGGGGAAAGAATCACCTTCTCTACCCTTCATGGTTAGAATGCCAGCACTCAGAACCAGGAGATTGATCTTGTCTTCTTTTGCTTGGATCTCCTTGCATGCCTGGTCGACTTCTTCCAGGCGGGCGACATCGCCCTTGATGAAATTGATTTGGCCATCTGGGTTCAAGGCACGGAGATCCTCGATGATCTGGGATGCTCTGGTTTCACTTCTCCCTACGAGATACACTCGTGGAGAAACTGCATATTTGACAAAAGCACGGGCGGTACTTTCACCAATGCCACTGGTGCCACCAACTGAGGGATGTTAGGTCTTGTAAAGAAATCCGTGTTGGAGTGCTTACCGAATACGCCCACCAGATTGGGACCGTAATTCTTGAGTGAGGTATTACTGGCTTGAATATTCTCCCAAGACACCATATTTGCTGTTTTCATGTGTCTGGGGCTACCGGGGAGCTTTGAGATGTTATAAGAGCCTCGGAGCTAGAATTCCCCCGGTGCCGATTTCTTAACGCCGCAATCCCCGATGTGGACTGTGAATTAAAGAATCACTCCGGGGCTGTGATATTCGTGATATTCTCTGGAGTGCTCCTTAATTAACGGAGTACTCGATATACAATTGCCAACATACGCATATTCAATTGTAAGCCTGCAGCCAACCGAGCAAACAGTGCAAACAGCCTGGCAAGAGCCAAGGTTGACATGAGCGACATGCTTCATCGTCCAATACAAGCCACCTTGCGATTATCCCAAATCCTGGACTGAATTCCCACTCCAATAAAAACATTGCTGGTCAAAAAAGACGAGCTTTGGTAACGGAACTACCCAGAGATCGATCAGACGTCAGGATTGCGGGGGCTGGTCAGCTTAACTCATCCCCAAAATCAGCTATATCAGAAATATCAACAGAGTACCCCGTACTCCATACTCCATATCTAACTAACTATCAAGATGTGGCCCTTCTCATCCTACCCCGAAAGCACAGCAAGCGAAGTAGCAGGCCAAACATTCGACTACATCGTCGTAGGCGGTGCGTGCCCCCAAACCAACACACCAGCACACCTCTAACAGTCTCACAGGCGGCACGGCAGGATGTCTAATTGCAAACCGACTCTCTGTCCACGCCTCAGTACTAGTTCTAGACAAAGGTCGCGTGAACGCAGGTCTGCTATCGCGGATCCCTCTCCTCGGCCCGCTGCAGGGGGGCATTAATCGGTACCACGCTGAGCCTAATGCAAATCTACGTGGGCGTCATGTGCAACTTCTTGCAGGTGAAATGCTTGGCGGGACGAGTCGGATTCATTCGATGGTTTGGAGTCCTGGTGGACGTGCTGAGTTTGATGGCTGGGCGAGGGATCTGGGGTTGGATGATTGGGGTTGGGGAAGGGTTGAGCCAGCGCTTTGGAGGGTTGAAGGGGGTGTGAAGCGACGGCAGGCTGGGGATACGGGGTTGATGCCGTTTGTGGATTCTGTGATGGGGAGGGTTGGACTTGGGGATGGGGAGAGGGGGACGCAGAGGTATGCGAGGAGTGAGCTTTCGATTGATGGGAAGGGGGAGCGGAGTTCTGCGTTGACGTCTTGGTTGGATGCTGGGGTTGTGAAGGAGAGAGGGGGACGGTTGAAAGTGTGTACGGGGGTTTTGGCGACTAAGCTTGAGTTCGGGGATGAGGGAACGAGCGTCACGGGAGTATGGATCAGACCAGCAAGTGGAGGTGCGGATGTTCTGGTTAAGGCTCAACGGGAAGTGATTGTTTGCAGTGGTGTATTTGGCACGCCACAGCTGCTCATGCTCAGGTTTGTTTCATTCCAATTGATTGAATTGGCAATTACTTACATCGAGCAGTGGCATTGGTCCCAAAGATCATCTTTCAGCGCAAGACATTCCTGTAGTGCAGGATCATCCTGCCATGGGCTCCCATTTGGTCACTCACGTCCTTGTGCCGGTAATGACAGAGCTCCCGCGCAAGCATACTTTGCACATCATACAGACCGTGGCCATTCTATGGCACTTCATGCTGTGGCTCTTCTTTGGGACTGGCGTTCTCTCTTCCAATGGCCAATTCGGCGCCGCGTTCCTGCACTCCACTTCGCTCGACAATGATATGGCAGTCCACCCTTCTGAGAATGAGGACGCCCCTGATCTGGAGGTCTTGATATGTCCCCTCAGCACGCTGATTGAACATGGCGTCCCTGGAGTTCCGTGTCTGACATGGTACGCGGCTCTCGTGCAGCCATTTACTACCGGCAGCGTCGAACTCACTGGATCTGACCGGACAAAGTCTCTCAAGATCACAATTCCTTTGCTAGTTGATTCTCGCGACAGTCCGCGACTACGTAAGGCTGTGCGTTTTGCCATGCGACTAGCCGACGAGTTTTCCCGTCCAGATACCGGGTATCCACATCCGGCACCATTCACGCTAGCCCCTGGCATGGATCTGGAGTATCTCGACTCCATGCTTGACAAGAACAGAAGTAAGAGTGATAAGAAAAAGATCACAAAAGCAGATCCACCACAGATGGACGCTTGGAAGACAGTGACGGATGAACAGGTTGACGAGTATATCCAGCGAGTGGTTACGGGCAGCTACGATCCCATGGGCACTTGCCGGATGAGCCTCACGAGAGAAGAGGGTGTAGTCGATCAAAGGCTGAGAGTGCATGGGGTACGGAATTTACGAATTGCAGATGCCAGTGTGTTCCCACGACCAGGGGGTGCGTCGATCTCTGCATCGGTTTATATGGTTGCCGAGAGGTGTGCGCAGTTTATCCTCGATGAGAACCTTGGAAGTGGCGTATGAAGTGGACCATGTTTGAATATTAACAGTTATATTGTTCACTGTGAATGTCCTTTATGAATATGAGTATATGAGTACCTTTATAGAAGCAGTTGAAAATACGTCATCTCGTTAACCTCGGCCCGTACCCGAAATCAGTCTAGTCTCAGTTCGGGTTAGTGTTCAATACGAGTAGTCGGGGTCTGTTCTCTTACTTAGTTGCAAGCCTCTCCGGGAATGGGATTTCGTGGCATTTCTAAAGTACGTGGCATTTCACCTTGGGTATACATTGAGTTGGCTGCTTCAATATTACCCCTTATCCAGTTGGGTGTGGACTGGCACGGCCAGGGACATCATTTCTGATAACTGGTCCAGACTCGATGTCGATCAGGGATGTTATCTGCTTCATGTCCACTCTGTGATACTGTAGGAATGCTTATACTCAAGTATAGACGGAGAAAGTACGAATAAAAGTACAAGAAGTTATCAATCGGGATCTGAGATTAGGGCTTGGCATCCCACCTTCTGCCTGAAGAATCAGGCCAACATAACATCATCCTCAGCCCCTCGCAGCCATCGTCGTCCAATTGTGCAAGGCAATTGACAAGGAATATCAAATCCGACTGTAATAACCGTAGAGTCCACTTTTATCCAATACAAAGAATACCAATTATACTTAAGGTAGATACCTAATGTGTAATCAAAACGGTCTAGATACCCTAGTTAATCAGCGGTTCTCGGCGGTCTTTTCTTGCTAATCCATGCGGTTCGGTATCTTTCTGCAACGGGTCACCTCATGGGGATTGTGCCCACTTGATCCCGATGGGCCGATATGTGTAAGCCAGAATCTTAAATACTCTCTTTCTTCCTCTTGCTTCACTTCACATCTTCACATCTTCATCTCTCTATCTCACACTTCCCCCACCAACCACCAACCTTCAAAATGACTAAGGGTTTCAACGCCGGTGACGCTTTCCCCTCGGACGTCGTCTTCTCGTGAGTTTCACTCCCAATCCCAACTCAATACCTCAACTAACCATCCCAGCTACATCCCCTGGTCCGAGGAGTCTGGCGAGATCACCTCCTGCGGTATCCCCATCAACTACAACGCCTCCAAGGAGTTCGCCAACAAGAAGGTCATCCTCTTCGCTCTGCCCGGTACGTGACCGCTCTTTGCAAAAAATTTTCCCCAAGTGCCCAATGCTCTTTCCTCCAATGCTCCCCGCATCTGCACGTCGGCCATCTGCAAGGGATTCCCACTGACCGCCTCCACAGGTGCCTTCACTCCCGTCTGCTCCGCCAACCACGTCCCCGAGTACATCCAGAAGCTCCCCCAGCTCCGCGAGAAGGGTGTCGACCAGGTTGCCGTCCTTGCCTACAACGATGCCTACGTCATGAGCGCTTGGGGCAAGGCCAACGGTGTCACCGGTGACGACATTGTATGTTCCCCCGCAAGCATAACAAAAAAACAAATCTAACATCTCTCAGCTCTTCCTCTCCGACCCCGAGGCTAAGTTCTCCAAGTCCATTGGCTGGGCTGATGAGGAGGGCCGCACTTACCGCTACGTCATCATCATTGACCACGGTAAGGTCACTTACGCCGCTAAGGAGTCTGCCAAGAACACCCTTGAGGTCTCCAGCGCCGACGCTGTCTACAAGCAGCTTTAAATGGATTTGATGGGCGTGTCATGAAGCTTTTGCAGGTTTAGCTGCTACGGCAGTTTTAGATTTAGATCGCCCTGTTTGTCCTATCACCGACGAAATATCTAATGCAGCCACGAGTTCATTCTTATTCTCTGATCTTTGATTTTGCATCGACTATAGATAAATCGAAGTATGTATAGACCATTACTTGTGATTGGCACACTAGTGGCAGAAGCCAAACCCACCTGGGCAATCTAACGTCTGTGCTCGAGGCCCGAGTCATGCGGAGTAAATTATATTCGTACAAAATGTGGTATCTAAAAAACAGATAAAAGTCACGCTCACATCAAGGACTCTTCACATTAGGAGTCACAGCAACAGACTTATTCTTCCTGCGCTCCTCTTTCCCCCTCAACCCTCGACTCAATCCACCGCCAAGACCGCGCGCCAACGAAGCAAACGGGGAAGACTCTTCCCACGGATTCAAATCATCTTCAGGTCGAGGGACCTCTCTAGGCGGAAGAGACTTGCGACTTGGATCCGACACTGCAGGTTCAGACTGTCTGCGACGGGAATTCTTCGCCTGTGTCACGGCTGGATGCGGGGCTGGTGAGTATTCCGGTGTGGGGACTGTCTCCACGGGCATGGGGACGTTGACGGCGATGTGTTCGGAGCATTGACAACCGCATCCGGTTGGACAGGCTGGAAGGGATTTCTGGTCTGGATGCTCTGTGTGGTCGGGTTGAAGGAACCAGCGTCGATGGCAGTCGAAGCAGCTCACGTGTCCGCAACTTAGGCATGGGATTAACATGCCGTCTACTACCTCGCCGCAGATGACGCAGGGTAGTTTGGTAGGGAGTGCTTGTCGGGGCCTGCAGTTTGGGCATCGACGGAGTGAGGTTTTGCGCTGGCGCTTGGAGGGGGTGTCGGGGGCGGTTGGGTGTTTGGTGAAGATGGATCGTTGCAGTGCGTGTCCACAGCTTGCGCAATGGCGCTGGAAATCCAGGGCTTGGGTGGTTATTGTTGGTTGTGGGTCTTTGAGGGATGTTTCGCTGCTGGGGTTGGAGGAATTCCAGTAATGGCTTGTGGCCATATCGTCTACTCGATCAGGAACGGCACCGAATTTCAAGACTTCGCTTTGTTGGACGGGGAGATCCCATAAAGCCAGCAAATTAGCGTATGCGGCACGGTATGAGCGATACAGCAGTTCCTTGTTGTGGTCAAGAAGAGAATAATGTGTTGGTCCGTCGCTTTCAAAGGCATCCTGGTTCTTGAATGTAACCTTGAACCTTGCAGGCGGTGGTGCTGATTCAGGTGCATGGTCACTTTCAGTGTCGGATTGAGCCTGAGACTAGCAAACGTTGAGGGTTAGCTTTACATTTTGTTGGTATGCCCACGATGATAGAAGACTACTTACCGATTGCCCAGCCACCACGCTCGGGCTGTCCTGGGGGGTCTGCTTTTTCTTATCCATCCTACTTGTCGGTGGTGAGGCCGATGATGGCCCGAAGGTGAACGAACGAGACAATGACGACGCCAGAACAGACCCAAATCCAGATCCACTTCGTGGTTGGGATTGTTGATCGGGCGACGCAGCTATCGAGACATTGTGACTCAAGGTCTTTCGGTCAGCAGCAATGCCTCGCGGGCGAGCCATAACTGGAGGTGTGGTGCCCGTGGAATGCGGTGGTGTTGATTCCAGACGCCAAACTTCACTGGACGATCTAGCTGAAGTCTGGGCAGTGGGTGTGGTGTGGATCTCTTTTGAAACGGACGAGGCAGGCGTCACCGCTGGCAACTTGCCTTGAACCACTGGTGCCAATGAGGAGAAATTCAGTGAAAAGGCCGGTTGTCCGAGTTGCTTCTTAGCTTGAGTCTCCAGAGCTCCCTCTTGGCTGGCTTCTAATAGCACACAAGAAAGCATTGCCACCATCTGCACATCTCCAATGCGCTCAAAGTGTTCAAATAGGGCAGGGACAAGCCAATGGCTGCCAAGGGGGTGATCACCCCAACGAATGATGCTCCCGGACATATCTCTGTACATTCCGTCTCGTCCAAGGCCACCAAGATCACCACCGTTCATGCGCAGACGTCGTTGCAGCAACCCTGACTCGGGCATGGATGGATTCTTCCGAACATGTAAAATCAACTTTATCAGACCCCAGATCTGGGCTAGTTCATAGCACCCAGCGTCTAGGGCCACAGCGGCATTATGGGCACATACATCTGTCCCTTTGCCGCAGATGCGATATTGACAGGCCAATTCCCGCTTGACTGGTAAAATATCACTCAAATTATGGATTGAGACAATATTCTGAGGCCCTTCGGATTTAAGAGTGCCAGTGCCTCCAATCGACCGCTGAGAGTTATCTGTCGATCGCGGTCGGTGCATTCCGTAGCTTCCAGCACTGCGCCATGTTTGAGGTGCAGGGAAGCGCGTTGGTAGCCCAGAAAGGATGTCAGATGAACCCGAGGAGCTTGACGTGTCCGAGTATGACTCGTCTGAGTCGGATGAAGCCCCATCTTCGGTGCTGGTTATTGTTCCCTTTCCCCGCGGACCAGGAGAGTTTGTGTGCAGGCGGCCAAACCCTTCGAAGACTTTGTCCCCTCGAGACCATCGAGTCATCTCCTTAAAGCCCATATTTTCGAACAACTCTGCTGATTTGTCTTTTTTTTGCTTCGGCGGGAAGAAGCATACAAGACGGCCATCGTTTGCCCAAAGTGCTCCGCATGCCTTGGCCACTGGCACCATCACGTTGGCATTGATAGGCCGGAGGAGCTCGGAGCTCATTCCCAGCTCTTGACTTTGGGTCATCCCGACTTCATCTTCATCGCTCGATTCTCCTTCTAATTCACCATTGATTGGAGATTTGAAATTGTCGCCAGTCTCCCCAAGAATCCAGGCAATACTCTCTTCTAGGCTGCTTTCACCCAGCAGAAAACGAACAGCCCCTTCTAGACATCCGCGGTTTCGGGACATGTACGTTTCGGCAATTGTTCTCAGCTCGGCAGTGATTTTTGCGGCCCATTCATCGGTCACCGCTGCTGTCTTCTGAAACGCAAAAGTTGGAATGGCAGTTTTTGGGTAGCTGACCGGGAACTTGATGTCCACTTTCAGGAATAGTGAGGCCCCATCGGCACCCCAGGGCCCATTGAGCGATATTGAAATTTTTCTTTGGCGAACATCAACTGAGTCAAAGGCAACCTTGGTGAATTTCTCGCCAACATGACTGATTTCGTCTCCCAGGGTTTCTATATCCCAGCCAGAAATCTTCACGCCACGCATCCAAGCAATTGGATTGGTATCAGCCCTCAAATTCGATCTTGGCTGCATGCCGACTCGGTCAACATGACCGCCCTTGATCCAGCCACGAGCGTGCGGAACAGTGATGGCATTCATACCGGTACCAGTTGCTCCATTTTGGTTTTGAGCACCAACTGAGGAAGCAGTGTCAAGGTCATCAATCTCCAAATCAGAATTGACATCGCGGAAACTCCTGTACACCGCACCAAGTCGTGTGACGGTTCGCGTAGATATGAAGGACTTGCCCTTCTCGTAGCCAACGCGCTGTAGAATCTCAGGATCGACCCTGTGCAGTCGAAGCTCCCTATCGGTTCCCCAAGTTACTAATTGATACTCGCGGTGATCAATGCCGTCTGCGACACCCCCGCGCGGCCTCCAAAGGAACTCTTTAACTTGTCCCTTGTGTCCGGGGAAGCTATGCACTAAAGGCAAGTCGTCTTCCGGAGATGAACCCTCCTCAGCTCGCCGACTGTAGAGGTGGAGATCATTGTTGCCTCTCTGTGGCATGGCAAGCACACCCCATCCGAAGGGTGTATTGCGGGCCCGCCAAACGGGGAAAGGTGTATGAACCTGTTTTTCCGGAACATCGGCTGTGTCGGTGGTATAGTCCCAGAACTTGACAGTTCTATCCAGGGAGCAAGTCACCAAGGCACCGCGTCGAACTCGATTCCAGTCAACGCCATAGATCTTGGTGTTATGCGCTTCAATGGACTTGATTGGGTATGCACCCATTCGATCGTCCCAGATGCGAAGAAATCTATCGTGAGAACTCGCGATAACATGAGGATCTTGTCGATTCCATTTGACCTGAGTCGCACCGGTAAACCAATCCGAGAAGGATACAGCCGGCCGCGATGGAGCGCGCAAGTCCCAGCAATGTACAAAGCTGTCCACAGAACAGGTAGCCAGAAGATCGGGGTGAAATGCCGAGAAATTAATATCGGTGATAGCACGAGAATGGGCATGCAAGACAATCTCAATGGAGTTTTGCCATGTCTTCATTGCCAAATTCCATACTAACGCCTTCTGATTGGACGTACTGACGACCCATTGGTCGCGCGCGGCAAATGGCGACCACTGTACATCGGCAACCTCCCATGGTGTGTGGTGAGGGAGATACCTTGGCGGCGAGTACGGGGAATCCAAATCAATGACATGTAGACCCTCCTTGGACGCGAGAACGACATCTCGTCCACAGGGGGATATTGACATAGATCCAACCGGCTGCTCTACATGGAACGAACTGTCCTCGTCAAATGTCGGACTTTCCATCGCCGACGCGAGGGGTCTCGCTTCCATCGAGCTTGACATGGTGAAGATGGCCGTTTGACCTCCGATGTTGGTCGGGCCGCAATCATGCAGCAATCGGGGAAGCCAGGGATCTATGCATGTACTCCTGAAGTCCGTAAAACATGGGAAATTTATGTTAGGAACGGTGCTCCTATTCCCATTCTCGGCGATGGCATCCCCTCGGATATCAAGATGGTAATGTTCTCGCAAGGGAACTGTCAACGGCGATAACAGGTGCGTGTCTAGCCGTGGAAGTATAGCATCACATGATCGTACGGGACGCGAAACAACCCCGCCATGCAGGAGCCCCTCGGCTGGTTACGTCGAGGGTTCTGGATCGGGATTTTGTTGACGCTTGACATTTGTTCGTCTGACAATATCTATACAGCGCTATTCACCACGGTCAAGTGCGCGTGTGTTTGATTTCCAGAGCTATCTTATCCCGCGCGACTACCTAAAAACACCAGCAAGGTTATTGATAAGCCGGTTCGCCATGGCTTTGCCCAAGAGAATTATTAAAGAGACCGAGCGTCTGATGGCAGAGCCGTAAGAGGCACCTGTTCCTCTGGATCATATCTGCACCCTCGCTAATGCCACATACTTGAATCACAGGGTCCCTGGCATCAATGCTGTTCCTCACGAAGACAATTTGCGCTATTTTGACGTCTCAATCCACGGACCCGCCCAATCTCCATATGAGGGTAACAACCGCAGAGCTCCAGGTTGGCTTCAATCGATATACTGACAGGTTGGCTTCAGGCGGTATCTTCAGACTCGAGCTCTTCCTTCCGGACGATTATCCTATGACTCCTCCCAAAATCCGATTCTTGACTAAGATCTATCACCCCAACATCGATCGCCTGGGCCGCATCTGCTTGGATGTCTTGAAGAGTAAGGACCATGGATCCGATCTTTTCCGATTGCGTGTATCTAACCATCTTGTCTAGATAACTGGTCTCCCGCTCTGCAAATCCGCACGATCCTGCTATCCATCCAGGCCCTGCTTGGAGCCCCGAACCCGGACGACCCGCTCGCCAACGATGTCGCCGAGAGATGGAAGGAAGATGAGCCTGCTGCGATCCAGACAGCGAAGGAATGGACCCGGACACATGCTATGACTTGAGCACTGTGAATATGATGTGACCATGAAGTACAGGGAAGGCCTTCTGTCTGTGATTGCAGGCATTGAGTGCCAAGCATTTGTTGTGTTGACGAGCACCTCCGTTAGAAAGAGTTCATTATCCTGCCCTAGCATTAGTTTTCTTTCCTTGGCCTATCAAGGCGTAAAATTGATTTGGTCGGAATCCTGTCGGGCTGGTTTTCCCAATCGCTCTGTTCAGACCCCTGTTGACTCTTCTTTGTTGCTTGATTATAGTGCTTAATGCTGAAGCACATGTTTCTGGCGCTCGTAATTCGCCTAGTGTTTGTAGGCTAGGTGTTTCCCAGGGGGGTGGCTCGTCATTTCGTGTCGATTTAGAGAGTGGCTTGTGACGCAATGCGATCCCCAATGAATCCGAATTTCGATTATACCCCGTTAGACAAGGTTTTCGGCATATCATTCACCCCTATTCGAGAGGATATTGGGATGGCTTTGGAGATCAAGCAGTATCAACGAGTCTTTTTGAGGGACTGATCAATGACGGATCTCCATCGCATCAAATCCCAACACCAGAATACTCAAGGGTTACTGGAATCAACCCTAGATGATACCACCAAACGAGTGAATTCAAGATCATCGAAAACTAATGCACTGCTAATGAGCAAGAGAGTTGTTGGAGTTGAGAGCAATCACGTGGTACCGGCCTCTTATCTTATCGCGACCCGGAAAGGGCAGAGCGGGTCACGTGTCGCACTTTAGCGAGCGCCCGCACCACAATTGGATCAGCAGCATCACCGCGATCCACGATTTTCGACAACCACTTTAACGCCAACCCGACCCCGTCAGCGCATCTCCATCCGTCAAGATGCGTACCTACGACGACGCCTTCAGCGGTCAGAAGATCTACCCCGGCAAGGTGCGTTCAAATCACGTCGTCGCCCCTAGGAATTTGTGTGCGAGGAACATCAATCTGGAATTGCGGCTTCAAGAACATTCGACCTTAACATCCCGTGAAACCCGTCGCTCTGCATTTCGCCGCTTCCCATTTCGATCGATTCGTCGCACATGAAAATCCTCCATTTGAAACCCTAAGTTCCAGAAGCTAATCTTGAATCTTCAATTTTATAGGGTAAGCTCTTCGTCCGTGGTGACTCCAAGATCTTCCGTTTCCAGAACGGAAAGTCCGAGTCCCTTTTCCTTCAGCGCAAGAACCCCCGCCGCATCGCATGGACTGTTCTCTTCCGTCGCCAGCACCGCAAGGGTATCTCTGAGGTCGGTCGCCCTTCCCGTTGGATTGTTTTTGAATGGTGTGGTGGAACGAAAGGCCGGCTCGAATGGTTACGTCAATCATGAGACGGAGCAAGAGGAGGGAATTTTGTTACACTGCCACGCCATACATGGGACCAAGTGATGGAAAATCAAGTTGCGACAGAATGCTGACCGGGATATTCGGAATTTATAGGAGGTCGCCAAGAAGCGCACCCGCCGTGTTGTCAAGAACCAGCGTGCCATCGTTGGTGCTTCCCTCGACGTGATCAAGGAGCGCCGCTCCCAGCGCCCCGAGGCTCGTGAGGCCGCCCGCAAGCAGGCCATCAAGGAGGCCAAGGAGAAGAAGGCTGCTTCCTCCGCCGCCAAGAAGGCCGAGAAGGCCAAGTCCGCTGCCTCCAAGGGTGGTGCCCAGCGCATCCAGAGCAAGCAGGGTGCTAAGGGCTCTGCCCCCAAGGTCGCCGCCAAGTCCCGCTAAATTATTTGAAATAAATGGTTGGATTGGAGGTGTTCGGGAAGGAGCAGCGATGTGCTGAGGGTTGCGATATGATGGAACTTACGGACCTGGAGTACTGTCTGTGAGAACTGGCCTTGAGCCTTGACCTTGTTTCTATGCAATACAAATTCATGCAGCAAAATGGGAACAAAGGAATCAAAAATATGAATCCCCATGCGAGTATCAAATCTCTGCTCCACTCCATTCCTGGGCAATGCATTGCTCTCCGTGATGCGTGTCTACCATTGTCTATGGATGGACGGATATGTATCTATTGGATCCGGAAAAGTAAACTAAGCATCACCTTAGGTAGATGCTCCAGAGCTGTAATATGGGTCTGTGGATTGCCTGTTGAGTCGGTTTTGCCGACACTTGAGCATTGTACATTACGCAGGTCCCGCATATAATTTCTCCACAACTTCTACTTGAGTAAAGTTCTCATGTATATCCTGAAGTCTTTGACAGCCCTAGCACTTGTAATTGAGTAGTAAATATCCTCGAAAGGCATATCACCCTCATCCTTATAGGGCCAATTTCGCCAACATATCACCCGTTGGTCCGTTTCAGCTTGTCGAACCATCTCCATACGAAACTCCCGATTGCCCTCCACGGTCCTCTCAAAGTTATCTGGCTCAGTCCCACCTTCCAGATCTATACCGAGGGGATCTCTAACCACAACAGCTGCTCGACGCCATTGTTAGACGACGTTGAATATACCAAGACCTCCGGCACTGGAAGCCTGAGAACATCTCGCAAGAAGTTCATGGTAGCCACCTCACTGCTTCAAACGGGCGAGATGGACGATCTCGTTTAGACTGTCCTGCTCATGGAGATGGCTTTTGGGTGGACGAGACGGTGTTCTGGGGATCTTGGAGCCTGGGCTGCATCTTTGATGCGTTTGGCGACGGCGGAGGAAAAAAGGTAGGGTCCCAACTTGTAGGCCTTAACAATGAGAGTCGGCTGGACCATTGGAGATCATTCTATAGCGGCTGTGGTTTCCCGAGTCTCCTTTGTCATACCGGAAGTTCCTGTGCTCTCGTGTAGAATGGCCTCGTTACCCTCTCCAGTTACCGGATAAAACCCGATGTAGTTCTATTGATTTGTGAGGGCCAACTCTTGAATCTCACCGGACCTGTGAGCTCAGCTCCCTCAAGCTGGTTGATAGAGCCATTATTTCTCTGTCGAAGAGACAACGCTCTCCGGCTGGTGACTTTGATTCCACAAACGCGGAATCTGTTCAGGCCTCTTCCCTGGGGCTCCTCGGTCTCGTCGTAATCACTCTAATGAACATTTGTCAGTTGATTGATGTCAGGTTAGGGATTTGATATCATTCAAGTAAAATGCAGATCTGTGAGATACTGCATTTCACGAACATCTATAGATCTTCCATTTGATCCAGTAAACATTGTATGAATTGAATGAGTGGTATTTCACATCTATGCTATAATTTCTAATCTGCCCCGCAATGCACTGGCTCCAAACTCGGGCAGCCAGTTGGATAGTCAAAAGCCATGCACAAGTCATGATACAGGCTAAAGATAGAAGCTGACACCCATGGTAAAGACCGTGATCACGATGCCAAGCACACCATGCAATGCCCCGGGTTCCCTCGCCCTCTGTCCAGATCATGCTGGACTGCAAAGGGGCGAACATGGGGATCGACTGCCAAGGCATACCAAATGCCGTCGAGGAAGAGCCAATGTACATGGTGAATACATCGCGTTCCAACCCCTGTCTCTCGTGCCAGCAGAACGGGCTTTTCGTGTTTGTATAATTCGACTTGCAAGTCCAGCCCTGTCGGGCCAGAAGACCCAAATGCAAATGCCTAACGCCAGACCGAAAACCGGTGCGAAACCGGGTATATAAGACATCTCAACAGACTCAGTAGTAGTGAGCCATTTCAAGACCAGCACGCTTGAAGCCACACTTGACATAGAATCCCTCGTTGACTTCAGAGCAATCAAGAATGCTCTGTTGACAGTTAGTGCTGACCAAAACCCTTGTCCGGAGTAACATACCTTGTAGCAACCAACCTGGGCAGCAACATGATCCAAAGCCTGAATGATTCGCAAGCCAAGTTTCTTGCCCTGCTGGTTCTTCTCAACGGCAATATCTTCAATGTGGCCAACCATGCCGAGAGAGTGAATGAACTTGCGCTCGACGATCAGACTGCCTGTGCCGACGATCCGGTCTTCCCCATCACACACCACAAGCATGTAGTACTCGTCGTTTCGCGAGGTGATCCACTCATACCGCTTGTTCCATGCCTCCTCGGTGATCTCGCCCACGGTTGTGAGGACACGCAGCACATCGAGGTAGCCACGGTTGTAGTCTGAGCGGCGCAGGGGCCGGATGGTGTAGTCTTGTGGCAGGGCGGCGATCACCTCGGGAGAAATGAGAGTGGCGGGGAAGAGAGGGCCGTCGGTCTCGGCGATGGGAGTGACTGTGGTGTTCATGGTGGGCTTGGTGATTTCGGAGACAGTGGTGGGTGCAACGGGGGTGATCATAGTGTGAGGAATATGAAATGTGAAATGTAGCGATTGACAGGAGAAATAGAATAAGAGTCGAGTACGGAGTAACTTTAGAAAGTTAAGAGTGTAAAATAGAAGTGAAGCCAGGTACAGGTGAAACATTGCCCCCCAGGGGTTTTCTATTTTTACTTTCCATACTTTGGACTAGTGGATTCTTGCTTTTCTTTCCACTCGTATAGTAGTATAAGTACTTAACTGCTTACAATGTCTTTGTTTCTAATAAACAAATAATCGAACCTTCCATTCATCTGAATATTGTAAAAGGGTTTTCTTCATGGCCAAATACATACTACTCTAAACCCTAAGATACTTAGATCCGATCTACTATGACCCGCTTCCTAGCCCACCGCCTTTCTGATGTACGAAATCTGGAATCTACTGTGAAACAATTGAAGAATGCTTTACAATTCCATTTGGAAATCTATAGTGTCACATAATGAACATATCAGTTCATCTATTTGTGCTCCTTGGGAGCAAGCATGAGCTCAGGGCGGACGTATTCGTCAAACTGCTCCGAGCTCAGGGCCTTGAGTTCCATAGCACTCTCCTTGAGAGTGAGGTTCTTCTTGTGGGCGTTCTTGGCAACCTTGGAAGCCATGTCGTAACCAATGACGGGGTTCAGGCAGGTCACGAGCATCAAACTATAAACCGGTTAGAATTTGCCATACGTAAGGGGGGTTCTAGTGCATACCTCTCGTGGAGAAGGGAGTTGATGCGGCCCTCGTTGGCAGCCAGGCCCTTAACGAGGTGAGAGTTGAAGCTGTTCATGCCGTCGGAGAGAATGCGCACGCTGTGAAGCAGGTTGGCGATCATGACGGGCTTGAAGACGTTCAGCTCGAACTGGCCGTTCATGCCGCCGATGGTGGCGGCAACGTGGTTACCCATGACCTGGGCGCAGACCATGGTGAGGGACTCGCACTGGGTGGGGTTGACCTTTCCGGGCATGATGGAAGAGCCGGGCTCGTTCTCGGGGAGGCTCAGCTCACCGAGACCGCAGCGGGGGCCGGAGCCGAGGTAGCGGATGTCCTGGGCGATCTTGAACAGAGAGGTGGCCAGGGTGTTCAGGGAGCCGGAAGCCTCGACGATGGCGTCGTGAGCGGCCAGAACCTCGAACTTGTTGGGGGCGGTCTTGAATTCGGTGCCGGCCAGCTTGCTGATCTCAGCAGCGACGGCCTCGTCGAAGCCCTTGAAGGTGTTGAGACCGGTACCGACGGCGGTACCACCCTGAGCCAGGAAGCGCAGGTGGGGGATGCTAGCCTCGACGCGCTCGATGTTGCGGTCGAGCTGAGCGACGTATCCAGAGAACTCCTGGCCGAGAGTGAGGGGAGTAGCATCCTGCAAGTGGGTACGACCAATCTTGATGATGTGCTGGAAGTTGTCAACCTTCACCTGGAGAGCGTCGCGGAGAGACTTGAGGGCAGGCAGGAGGGTCTGCTCAAGCTCGATAACGGCGGCAATGTGCATGACGGTGGGGAAGGAGTCGTTGGAGGAGGCGGACATGTTGACGTGGTCGTTAGGGTGGACAGGCTTCTTGGAGCCCATGGTGCCACCAAGGATCTCAATGGCACGGTTGGAGATGACCTCGTTGGAGTTCATGTTGGACTGAGTGCCGGAACCAGTCTGCCAGACAACCAGAGGGAAGTGATCCAGCAGCTTACCCTCGGCAACCTCAGCAGCGGCCTGCTTGATAGCCTCGCCGACCTTGGGGTCTTGACTGTGTCAGTACTCTGACCATGTTTGTATTCCATAGCTCCACATACCAAGACCGTACTTCATGTTCACTTCGGCAGCGGCACCCTTGAGGATACCGAATGCCTTGACAATGGGGGCGGGCATGCGGTCCTGGGGCTGGTTGATGTCGAAGTTGCCCAGGGAGCTGTTATTCCATCAGCGACGTTCTTTCGATTGTGTCGTTTGTGTTTAGATCCGATCCGAGTGGCGCCTTACCGCTGAGTCTGCGCACCCCAGTACTTGTCACCGGGGACCTGTCAAGCATCACCGTTAGTTATCTGCGTAGGTGGGGTTGCGACATTGGCACTCACCTGGATTTCGCCAAAGGCATCACTCTCGGTACGAGCTTCAACAGACTAGTCTCCATCAGCTTATGGTCCAACGATTCCACTGCGCAACGCATACCATCCTGACAGTAGTTCCAAAAGCGCGCTTGTTGGAGAAGGTGAAAGACTGAAGGCGGGGGAATTGAGCGAATTGGGTAGAGCTCAAAGACCGAGGACCGGAAGAGCGAGCAGCGGACAAAAAGCTGCGAGCTGCGGGGGTGGCTCTGGCTGCATGTGTTAAGGTGGCCATAGAGCGCACCGCGGCCCGGGAAGAAGAAGGCATGATGTATACAAGTGTTACCACAAGCTGAAAGCTGGGGAAAAGTGGAAATGAGTGTTTTCCTCCTTTTTAAAAAAAGAAAAAAGAACAGAATCGATCAATTCGACTCCGATTCCCCTGCCGAAAGTTCCCGGTATCGGTTGAACGGCAGAAACACGGGGTTTTCGGCAGGGAAATCGGGTCAGGCTCGGTATTATTTCACTTGCAGTACGGTATTATGGTTGAACACTCATCCCTTCAATTGTTCCCCCAATTGTTCCCGCAATGTCGCAACCACCTTCTTGTTATATTCTCGTCCGCCTTCCAGAATTCCATCCAGCGATGCAAACACATGAGGGGCACCTGCAACCCGAATCACTTCTACAGCAACTCCGGCAGCTTGAAGCTTGGCCGCATATGCCTCGCCTTCGTCGCGCAGAGGATCTAATTCCGCTGTAAACACCAAAGCAGGGGCCAGGCCTTGGAAATTGGGGGCTCGAATGGGGGATATTTTCCAATCCTGAGAGGAAACAATGTCAGCACGGTCTACACTAACCCAGGAAATATCGCACACCCACCTCATCAGACTGCGCCGGTCGAGGAACTCCTAAGAAGGATCGGTGGAAGTAAGCCATGCGTGCAGCGGGTAAAGCTGGCGCAAATTCCATCTCTCGGTAGGACTCATAGGGACAATTCTCTCGGTCAAAATCACCGTGTGGAGTGAAGACACTGTGCAGGTCTGTAGCCGGTACAGTCAGGAGTTGCAGTCGCAGGGGGATGTTCGCATCGCGACAGAGATGGCTGATAACAGCTGAAATATGACCTCCGGCTGAGACTCCTCCCACTGCAAATCGATCTAGGTCGAGGTTGAATTCAGCAGCCTTGGAGCGAATCTAGATCCAGTTCAAGATGCCTCAGCTATTGTATACCTGCTTGGATGGGACAGTGTTCTTACCCAATTAAATGCAGTCCAGCTGTCGTCAACTGGGATTGGGAACTTGTGCTCTGGCGCTAATCGATAGTCCACGTCAAATGCGACTAAATTACCTTCCAGCTTATGGACCAGCCGCTTGCAGAAACTGTGATCGTAATTTAAGCCGCCAAAGACCCAACCACCTCCGTGGAAATTGACATAGGCAGCCCTCTTCTTCGGCTGACCCTGCTCGTCCTGTTGAGGCGCGGGTTCAAATATCCGAACAGTGATCTCTCCGCCATTGACTGGGCATTTTTGCTCTGTGACACGGAAGACCTCGGGCCCAGGAGCTCGGCCATATGCGATGGTGTATCGGGCAGGGTTCTTGCGAAACTCCTCTATCGGTACCTCGTGTGTATGCAGTCGTCCTGCATTGAAGGCGTTGTAGTATGCCACATATACGGGGTCATAGCGTGGGACAAGCTCGGGAGGGATGCTATTATGCAGTGGTTGGATGAGGGTTGGAGCTCGAAACCCTGTCAGAGCTGGGTTTGAGGTTGTAGATTGGACCATGCTGCAGATGATCTCTTTCAGTATTGGTTTGTTGCTTTTTTTTTTTTTTTTTTTAGGGGGAAGAGGAGTTGAATTAGAAGGTGAGAGTTCGCGCGGGGTTATGTTCCCTGTAGCCTTCTAAAGTTGGAGGTACCTATGTGAGTCAATCACACTATGGCATCATTTTCCATCACAAAAACACTACACCCACTTGAATTGATCTGTAGATATTGTGGCATAGAGCTGTTGCCAGACTATATCTGGGGTGTTATTCTACCAGGTATTACTCTGTACCTGCAGGTGATCTATCTATACCGGTTACTCTATACTTAAGTAATATGGACATCTGAACAACAAACAGAAATATAGATCTGAAGTCGTGGGCTGATAGATTATTATACTCCGTACTCTATACAGAGAATACGAAATGATAGAAAAACATCAAGAACATCCCCAAAAATAGGGAAAATCGGCCAGTCTAGTCAGATGCAAGTCAGACCCTTGGAAGTATATAATCCGGCGCAACCCCAGGATTTCCTGACCTCAACTTCCAACTTTAGAACTTTAGATGCTTACCCTCCAGGGCCCCTTGAAGATATACTAGTACTTAAGTACTCCGTACGATCTACACACTCATCATGACCTTTATAGGGGTACAGAGCACGGCCACAGTCAGCAGGCTTCTGACGTCCAGAGCCCGGAACTGAAGGATCACATTGTGATCTCCCTTCCAAGTCAACAAGGTTATTCGCGGCTATCTGTTTCTTTGAAATGATGGCTTCAATAATTGCCATCCCTTGCCCAGAATCCGCCACTAAGCGGGACTTCCCGCGGGGCAAAAAAAAAAAAAAGCAAATCATCAGGGCTGAGGGCTGAGGGTCTCCCGGGTGCGAGATCGGCTTGACTCAGCCGTCGATTTTGATCTTTACTTATACCCGGCATTTGTTCCACCTCCACAATTGCTAATTGATCCCTTGTACCTAAAAAAAACACTCAATTTCATCATGACCAAGCTTGACACCCGTCTCGATGTGGCCCCGGTCCCCCCTGATGAGATCTTCGCCCTGAACGGTGCCTACTTTGCCGATACCGACCCGCATAAGGTCAGCTTGGGTGTTGGTGTCTACCGAACCGACGATGGCAAGCCCTGGCCCCTCCCCACCGTCCAAAAGGCCGAGAAGGCCCTCGTCGAGGACAACGACCTCTTCCGCCATGAATATACTGCCATCGAGGGTGATGTGCCCTTCCTGGGCATCGCCCGCGATCTGATGTTCGGATTCGAGGGTAAGCAGAGCGAAGAAGAGGCCAAGGCCCGCATTGGTACCGTGCAGACCGTCGCTGGTACTGGTGCCAACCACCTTGGTGCTCTCTTCCTCGCCCACCACATGAAGCCCCGCAACGTCTGGCTCTCCAACCCCTCCTGGGCCAACCACCAGACAATCTGGGATTTGGCCGGCGTCCCCCGCAAGGCGTACCCATACTACCATGCTGCAACCCGGTCATTCGACTTTGAGGGCATGATGAACACCCTGGAATCCGAGGCGCTGGAGGGTGATGCAGTGCTCCTGCACGCTTGCGCACACAACCCCACTGGTCTGGACCCCAACAAGGAGCAGTGGGTTGCCATTGCCGATCTCTGTGAGCGCAAGAAGCTCTTCCCCTTCTTCGACTCGGCCTACCAGGGCTTCGCTTCAGGATCCCCTGAAGAGGACGCCTGGGCTGTCCGCTACTTCTTTAATAACAAGCCGGATATGGAGATGTGTGTCGCACAGAGCTTCTCTAAGAACTTCGGTCTCTACGGCCAGCGTGTCGGTGCTTTCCACTATTGTCTCAACCGCAGCTCGACTAGTATTCGTGACGTTGTCGTGGGTAACCTCTGCCATCTCATCCGTGGCGAGTTCTCCATGGGCCCCCGCAGCGGCTGCAGCATCGTCAAGAAGATCCTTACTAGCGACGAGCTTACTGCCGAATGGAACCAGGATTTGCAGGTCATGAGCTCGCGAATCAAGACTATGCGCCAGGCTCTGTACAATGAGCTGATCCGCCTGCAGACCCCCGGTACTTGGGAGCACATTATCGACCAGGTAAGGCGACCACGACCGTGCAAGCGTCATTTCGTACTAATTCTATTCTTAGTCCGGCATGTTCTCCTACACTGGCTTGAGCCCTAAGCAGGTTTACGCCCTGAAGGACAAGTACCACATTTACCTGCTCAAGTCTGGCCGTGCCTCTATCAGTGGCTGTAAGGATACTCCCCACTATGACTATAAGAAATACGAGCTGACATCATGCACAGTGAGCCAGAAGAATGTCGCATATGTCGCACAGGCGATTGACGATGTCATTCGCAATGAGAACTAGGATCCTCAGTAAATAATTTGACGCAGTGGGTGAGATTTTGTTCTCAAAGGTGCCAAGTTTTTGTTTTCGGTATTACAACTTTGCATCTGGCGCCCATCTGTTACTTATGACATTCATGATAGAATTATATAGAGAATCAGCCCTAACGTGGCTTACGGCTTACGGCCTAACACAGTATCATACAGCACTACTCCGTACTTAGTATTAGAATGAGTCAAGGGCATAAGTTTTCTACTGTACATTAAAAAAAACAAAAAAAAAAAACAGAATGATTAAAAAAGCAGGAGTCAAAGTCGGAGCACATTCGTTAGAAACCCGAGGCTTGTATACCCAGGCAACGCGCCACTAACCACAAGGTAAAGCTGTACTGGATATAGTCATGGACGCTCAAAAATAAGGATAGAAGGGTCAAGCAAGCATCACAGCGGGACTTCGTTGAAATCATCACCCTCTTTGCCTTTGCTCTTCACATTAGGACTAGCCTCAGAATCACCATCAGGCCTGTTTTGCGGAAGAGTCTGCTCTTTATCTGGTTCGTCACTCTTTTCAGCCCCGACCTCGGATTCACCATCCTTCGCGTCCGAACCATGCGCCAAGTCAGTCCCATTCTCAACAATATTAGAACTCTCAGCATCATCCTTGGGCGGAGGAGGAGGAGGCGACACTTCCCCATCTTCCGATTGTACCTCTTCAGCCTGAGCCTGGGGCTGTCCACTCATCTCACCACCAGGGAAAGGAGTCAGAGGTGGTTCCTCTGGCACCTGCTCTTGCGCAGGGCTACGCTGGGGCTGCGAGCTAGGCCTTCCCTGAGGCTGAGTTGCAGAGGAGAGAGTAGAAGTGGTACGTTGGTGGGACGAGCCGTGGATCACACCTAGTTGACGGGCCTTGGGGTCTGCATTGAGATAGTAGCCACGCACACCGGCAATGGTTCCTTCTGTTTCGCAAGCATCCACCCACTCTGGTACAACGACAGGAATGTTCATGCTAACAGCCTTCTCCCACAATTGGCCCCGGCCTTCTGTGCAGACGAAGTGAGTGGTATCGATGCGGACAGTGTCGATCATTTTTCCACCAATGCGATCCAGCGCAGCACCAAGGGCCTCCTTTTGCTGGGGATCCAGAATCCCTGTTGTCACTGTGATACCCGACAGATCTGTCATCTTGTGGGTTTGACACGTCAGCTTTTCAGACTGGTAGGTACCGGCCGTAGTGCGTAGAACGAGGTGGAAAGAGTATTCGGAGTGAATTGCGAGGCCGCTGATCTTGGTACTGCGGGTTTCGAGGGGACGAGGAATCGAGCCGGCCTTGGAGCCATTGCGATAGAGGGAGAGCGATTTCAGGGACGCAGTCGCCAGATCGATTGGGTCCCACTCTAGCACGAGCGAGGTCTGGGTGGCATTTCGGAGGCGCAGAATCGGCGCCGTGGGGGCTTTGACGCCGTATGTATTGAGGATTCGTTTCTGGAGGGTCTGGAAGGCTGATGCGTTTGCTGATTCGGCGGCATGGTTGCGCGACACGGTGATGTCGACAATGCTGCCGGATGCAATGTTGTCTGGGAGGAGGACTGAGGGGAACTCGATCTGATTGAATGTTAGTTGGATTGGCTCTAAACTCGTTCGTCGTTTCGTTGTCGCAGGGTTCCAGTGTTTTGATCATGCGACCAGGGGTTAACTTACGAGTCGATTATCTTGGGTGAGGAGAACCGCGACACCCGCGTCAACCTTTCCGACTGTCAAGGAGACCAACATTGTGCTGGAAGAAGATGACGTTTCAAATAGGGTGGTTGTAGTTGTAAAGTCCCCTGGGGGAGATGAATCCGCCAGATCGGCATTTAGCGAGGTACCAGACGGGAGCCAAGAGGCGCCTTGTATACGGAGTATGTTGACCATTTATACGGCGTACGAACAATGAATATCTTTTGAATTTCAAGGGTATAATAAACACGATCAGGAGAGATTCTTCGAAATCCCAAATGCAAGCCAATTTCCAGTCTCAAAACGCCTTTGGCCGAAATGCTTCAGTAATGTACAGCCGACTGCCAATGCGGCACAAAAAATGTCAATGATAATATACAGTGAAATGAACGCGTCCTCAGCGAAGCCCACCCGAGCCTCACCTTGGAGTTTGAGTGTTCGGAGAGGCCGATTCTTGCGCGGACTGGTGCGCCATAAGCTCGGCCATGACTTTGTTTGCATCCTTCCGGATATCCTCGAAGCTTTGCACTACACATGGCACTTGGATATAGATCTCCATCGACCCCGTCAAGTTCTTTTGAGCAGAGGACTCGGGTATCCGTTTACCAAGCCTGTCCAGTCCATGTTGTTTCAGTGCCTCTTCGAACGCGATCCTCACTCTGCGCGCGCACCAGGAGCGAACCACCCGTTTATATGGCAGGAGCTTGTTCACTGATACTCGCCACCATAATGTGTTTTTATCGCGATGGGCTAGCGTGTGGACGATTTTGGGCCGGATTGGATGGATAGGAGCACCTAAGTATCGTGCTGCGACAGGGGGGATGTTGTGTTTGGTCCAATACCGGACCACGCAGGTGTCTGTGATTCCAACAAACTTATTCATTGCGGTAGATTATTATTGGTCGTAGGAGGGGTGGGCTGGTTGGGAGATATAAGGAATGAGAGTCGTGGCACATTGATATCATGTCGGGTTGATGACGGTAAGCCTCATGGAGAGTTGGGCACACGAGGGGTATCGGAAAGCGAGTTGGGATGACTGCTCCTCAGTCCAAAGTGAATGAGACCCAAATTACAGTCTCCAAATGGTGTTGTAGAAGTATGCAGAGTGCTCGTAGCCCAATCCTGAGTGTAGAGAATCGGGCGAGTTCGGTGTCCACTGGCCGGGTGACGGGGTGAGTCCTGTATAAGACCGGATGGAATTTAAATAGCAGTCAACAGTCCAGATGTCTTGACTTTTGACACCTGAAATCATCAAGCAGTCAACATCCAAGTTGCCAACCTCGAGTTCATTACTTTTTTCTGCCAGTCAAATAGGGCGGTCAGTATTTCAGCCTGAAAACACCGTGACGCCACTGGGTGCCTGATTACTAACAAAAAGATTTGATTTCTGGTGCACAGAACACCCCACCTCCTTCTTTCTTCAACTCTCACTCCCCTGATCTACCTCGATCAGGCCTCTTCAGATCTTCGTTGATCTAAAGAAAAAAAAAAATATCCCAGAGAGAATCGACCCAGGTGAAGGTCGCACACACCCGCCATGCCCAAGAACAAGGGAAAGGTAAGAGCGCAAAATTACTCCCCTCTTCATGACATTTCCTCCCGCCACTGCCTCCCACACTCTGGCCACATCACCAACTGGTGAAAATTTCAACATGTGGCTAGAGCACCTGATTTTTTTCTCTTTTCTTCCCTATGACGTGATATGACACATTCTGACAATCGAATATAGGGCGGTAAGAACCGCCGTCGTGGAAAGAACGAGAACGACAACGAGAAGCGTGAGCTTGTCTTCAAGGAAGAAGGCCAGGAGTACGCACAGGTCGTGAAGATGCTGGGCAACGGTCGTCTCGAGGCTCTTTGCTTCGATGGCGAGAAGCGTCTGGCCCACATTCGCGGCAAGCTTCGCAAGAAGGTCTGGATCAACCAGGGTGATATCATTCTCCTCTCTCTCCGTGATTACCAGGATGAGAAGGGTGATGTTATCATGAAGTACACCGCCGACGAGGCCCGTTCCCTCAAGGCTTACGGTGAGCTGCCTGAGCACGCCAAGATCAACGAGACCGATACCTATGGTGGTGACGGCTTGGACGACAACGTCGAGTTCGACGAGGATCGCGAGAGTGAGGATGAGAAGGACATCGATGTCGACGACATCTAAACGCCCCCCTGTCACCCCCAGAGTTCGATGGCTCTGCCCTGCACGAATACCCTCGGAAACGTCACTCCTCAGTATTCTCCATGTTCGCCAAAATCCCTACCCTTGTGCTTGCCGCTGCTAGCACAGTGCCGTGGCTTGTCTGCTCCGAAATGTCTGCCTCTTGTCACGCGAGGCTCTTCGAAAACTCGAATTCCCCTCTGTACATTTGAACGGATCGAGAGCACCAAATACCCCAGTCTACGACGCCTCCTACCCCGGCTTTGCACTTGGATAGGGAAATCCTCTCCTCTACGGCTACTGTGACAATTTCCAGGGCATCATGCCATCGAACAGAGGTCTCTTGGTGTTTTGTTCATCGGCGATGTTGGATTTGTCGATGGGTCAACCCTCACTCCAATCACACTCCAATCATCGTACATGTTCTTCAGATACCCCGAGATTACGACAGAGACGAAAAAATGGTTTCTACGCACACATGACGAAACTGTGTGCTTGTTTTCCCTGCATTGCATTGCATGCGGTTTTCCCTCTGCCCAGCCTCGAATTGCTTTTCTTTCGTTCTTTTGTGATAGACTCATGAAACGAGCCACGAGAATTGAAAATATCATTCATATGAAAGTCAGATATCTCTTGTAGGCCAATAAGGCTTAGCCGCTGTACAAGTAGTATAGCCTTTCTTCCCACACAATGTACGGAGTATTATTTGACACGGTGAGCGGGGGGCCAGAAACGGCTCCCATTGCACCGCCGTCCTGCCGTCCTCGACCGCCTACTCGTCTCCGCCATTCACTTACCCCTTCAGGCTTAGCGTCCTTATACTCTACCCGTTTGGGGTTAGTGCCCCTCTGGCCGCTTTTATCGCGCCCAACGCCTGCCCTCCATCTATAAAACACCGCTCGTCCTCTTCGCAGCTTTGTCGACGCACTTTCCCTTCTTTTTCCTGTCTGACTCCTTTCTCTCGGCCCCCAC